ACCTGACTATTAAAATGTACTGAAGAAGCGAGAAACCCATCAGATATGTTATCACCAAGTTGATCCTACTGCTACAGCATTCTTAGTATTATAATAATAGATGTAATTGTTTCTCCAGATTCATAATGATGTTTTTAAACTACATATTTTACCGACACCTATATAATGGCTATCGGCCACATCAACCATTTTTGACTGGTACCAATAATTAATATCATCTCTAGTGTTAAAGTTAGATACATGGCGATTTCTGTCATTTTGTTCTATCTAATCTACCAATGATATATGATTTTTGTTTTACCAATTATTGGCATTTAAACAAGGGTTGGGCTTTCTATATAGATAAAATTCTTTTATGTATGCTTACTCTTTCTGGAACACAGGAATCACTTCTCTCTATATATATTTTAAGAGGAACAGTCGGCATTTTCGGGGATTGATTTGGGTCTTGAATGTGCGTTAATAGTCTTAAGAAGTACTAAAACGCACGAAAGTCGCATAATCCCTTCAAATATACCTCAAACAAGAAATTTAACTGTCTATTTCTATATATGTGTTTTCTATATATGGCATAGTCTCACTAAAATTCGAGTCGAACTTTTAACTTTCAAACGTGAATAATTATGGATACATATGGATTTGAAGGGTCAAATTTCGACGATGAGCTGTAAACACCATTACTGATTATGTAAACTTAAAAATTCTTGTACCTGAAACTAAGGTATGATTGGTCGAACAGATAGTGAAGATGCTCCTTTTACAGATAAACAATTAGTGTCTCGCAAGTTTATTTCGAATGATGGACAAAAATCGTCCAAGGACTATATCTTCAAATTTAAAATATTTTTATAAATCTACTACATCTCAATCTAAGTAAATTGGGATTTTTTCTTGGTGAACCAAGTATCAACAGTGGAATTCAGAGAATTCGTGGGAGGGGGCGATCAAGATCTGTTCCTTTCTCTCCTCTCCACTTTGTCAGCAAAAGTCAACAAGTGCGGACTTCATTTGAATCATAATGGACATAAAATCAGTGTACATGCATAAACATGCAACTTCCTCATTCAATCAATATTAACATAATCTAACCTATGTTTGAAAGAAATATAAGATTATCTGTCGGCTTAAATTCTTTTTATGAGTACAAGTATGTTAGTATGTTACGAACTGATAATATTTATTAGCTTTCAACTTCAAAATCTTTGTTCTGTCTGCATACATTCCAGAGAATGTAACATAATACATAATACATTCAGGTAGATTCTACTTGAGAACTTAACTCCATAGCTTATAAAGACATCCAATTACCACCAAATTCTCTTAGCTCTGAAGTTGAGTTTTCAAACGTTTTTTGATTTTCAGTTTAAAGAGGAACATCGAAATTATTTCAATCTCGTATACCTACTGAATAAAACACTACCTAGATTTTGTTAAGGTTATGCATTATGCAATCATATTTAGGTCAAGTTGTTATATGGCTGTCTTCATTATATGAAACCACACAAACTATTGCAAATAAGTATGTGACTTATTAATATCTCCACTGAGGTGGTGTCTCAATCAATTCCACTTCTATCGCTTTCACTGTCCAAGAAGCCAACTATCAAAGATAGATTAGATTTTACAGTTCGTTTTGGATCCTCTTGAACTATCAGCGATCTATCTGCACCAAAGAGGAGACCACACACTTGAACATCTAATTTTTTGTTGTTTTATATGCTAATGTGATTACTAAGCGTGAAACGTATAAGAAAGAGTGAAGAACAGAATCGAGTGAGTCAAACACCCCAACTTACGAATTAATTTGAAGTTTGATCAATGCTTGAACAATGCAGCAAGTGAACATGATTTTGAAGTATACATTGATTATTCAGCTATTACTCAGCATGTGATTTGGCACAATTCTGAAAATAGTTGAAGCCGGTGTCTAAAAATACATTGTGTAGAGATATCTTCTGGCAACAAAATTGTTAGGGGAGAGATACTATTATTCTACAATATGATTATTCTAGCTTTGTACTGACCTGGAATTCACTTACCTCTAACAATTTTTCAGTTAGATCTTAGAATTTATCGTTTACACAATTAATAGTTGGCTAAATACATTTTTGAATATTAGGATTGCAGCATCATGAAATTGAGAAATTAAAACGCTTGTTAAAGGAGTTGATCTATTTCTAGAACATCTATAATAGTTGACACGTCTATAGGATATGGATGTCTGTTCGGAGCAATAAAATATACTTATCAGGTGATATAGAACAATGATCTGCTTAAGATACAGATTTTAGGCTACAGAGTATTTCTTGTTTTTTACTATACCATATGAAATACAATCACAAACCTAAACACTAATTAGTCATTTCAGTCAAACCAATATTCAATATAACTTGATCAAATTGCATTAAACATAGACATCTATTTCAAAGATAAATGTATGCCATCAAAGTTTGGCAATGATCTACTTCTCTTGAATGCAGAAAGGTTATTTCTATTTCTAGAATTCTTGGCATACCAAACCAATCTGAGGGGTTTACGAATTTGTCAATAAGCATTATCTATATAATTACAACATTAATTAAAGACCAATTAGTGGGCAATTATCATAATTTATAACATGCATCTCTTACTGTGAATTGTGATCATCGATATCAAAATGATTTTGAAATGCTTGGGTCAGAGCCTGGTTGTGAATTTTCGTGGTTTGTTTCTAATCTTGTGGAACCATTCGCGACAAATCTTGAAATGACCCAAGATACAAAAAATTAGTGTAGCTTAGCCCATATTCATAATGTACAGAGGAATGAAAATGTATTTCAAAACCCCCAAAATTGATTAAAAAACAGTACACTATAGCTTCCCTCTGAACCCAAATGAATTTGTTTTTTCAGAGATTTCACAAATTTGTAGGAAATATAGTGTGGAGGTGGTCGTTTTGCTGTTTGAGGGACACGTAAATGTCCCATTGCTAGAGCTAATTTGTCGGGGAAGGTGACAATTTGAATTATGATGTGATATAATACATGTACGCAGTCCTCGAACACTGGTTTATAAGCTGTTACTCTCTACTTACAGTTGCTATTAATTATCTAATTATGTGCTACATCCATTACGAAGCATGGAATATGGGTTGGCAGAATGGCCACCTCATAAATTAGGCCAATGGACAATTGACTAAATGGCAGAATCGTATATCATCATGGTGAAGAAACAGTACACTCTTTAGATAACCTTATGACGTGACACAAGCATTTTCAATTACAAGCATTAGCATGTACGTACTTCCGGTAGGGTCGGTTGACCCACTTGAACACGTTGGTTCATAATATCTTACACTAAATTCAAAGTTGAGACAAATTAAAGTGACTTATATAGATATGCGTGTAGATGCATATTCCCCACTGCTGTATTGTAGCCCAGATTCCTCTAAAAATTACATGGCGACATCACAACATACATTGTTTTCTCTGCATTCTTTTGCTTTGTTGGTTGCCAGAGAAAAATGTACAGTTTCTGGAAAAGTTAAAATGTTAGCGGCACTAGCCCATTCTTTATCGATTTCCACTGTCGAAGGATCTCGAAAGTGCATATCGTCCATAAGACAATTAATTGACGCCTTCTTATATCAACCCCCCGACCGACATCTTTGCAAGAATCGAATCATGAACCATCAGGTAAAAGAGAAAACGCCTAACTCCGCGACCTGAACTAAATTATAACAATTATACATTGAAAGTCAGTGTGAGTCGAAACGGTGGAAAATAGATCAGGTAATTTTCATACATCATTGGGTAAGGTGTTCATCCATAAACTATTAGAAATCAGTCCCCGGGCAATCATTTAATCATGGTTTATTTAATGTTACCGGAAAAACAAAATGGCCGAAATAGAATTATAGATCAAACTTTTTCAGTCTGTTGACTGAAATAACTTCAGAGGATGTTTTCTGTAGTAGGTGTTTGTAAATATAACCTAGCCTTAATGCCTAACAGTTCAATTCAACAGAATCATGCGAACGTTCTTCCACTCCTTCGCGCATTTAATATCTATCAATTCATCTGGTAAATCGAGACTTATGATGGCTCTCAGAATGATTGATACCTTAAGAATCTCCGCCCACTTCTACCACAATACTTTCAGTAAATCCTAATTCTACACGTAAAGAATTTAAGAATGTCACATTTTATTTAAAATTCTTTGAGTAAAAAATATCTATCCTGCATCACATAGGAAGTCAGAAGTAAAACGCGTTAATTGTCAAAAGTGAGAAAAAGTCCAACAATTTGGCACCTCGTTCTGTTATTCTATTTGTCATAGGAGAGATAACTGCACGCCATTTTTAGCTTCTAATGCATGAGAGTGTATTCCAATAGTTTCACTGTTACCTATTGCGAGTTCTGCTACGTAAGCGGTTGCTAGGGACATATTAGGCCTCACATTGTTGTTAGGTAGTCTCGCACTATTTTCTCATTTCTTTCAACGTTATACGTCATAAATGACTACGTCTTACTCAGAAGTTCTGGGCATACCCCCTTTTCCTTATATGGCAGACGAAGGTCACAAGCGAGAAATGGTACCGATAAAGCTTCGAATTAAAGAATAATAAATAGACTTAATGTTAATCAGCGTCGATAATTTGAGTTTTTACTCCAATAATATTCTTAGTCGTTTGGTGGCGCTACATATCTTTCTTATCTCTAGCATAAAGATAGTATTGGAGGTTGGTGACCATCTTTGACTGCTTTCATCTCAAATTACCTCGATTAGTACTAGGTAACGGAAACGCGCCACCTAGCGGCAGGTGCGTGTATATATACTCTAGCTATAGAAGTATATAAGGAATCTGTAGCGGGCGTTCAAAGATAGATTGCAAACCAGCACAGTGGTATTTAGTAGGCAGCTGGTCCCGGAAGAGGTTATCCCAATTTCTCAGCGTTTCGGTGGAGCTAGTTTTTCAGTACTTTTTGGATATTCTTGTATAATCAACAAACGGCCACAAAATGATGGGAATAGATGATTTTGACAACGTCCGAACTGTTCGTTCTATTCAACGTTTAAATGTCTACCGTGGCACATCTCCAGCCACCCAAAACAGATTGGAGGTAGGCATTATGCAATTTTAAAGCTTAATAACACATATATTGCAATTTATTGCTCAAATACTAACAATTTTTTTTATCTGCTTTTCTGCAATCTTTAAGTTCCTGTGGTTTGTGTTGTTAAGGCATATTTCAGATCTAGACGTTACATTGACTGTTTTGTGCTTAAATGTTGCCCTTTCTCTTAAAATGGATGCTATTTGTTAATTCTAAAGGATTACATTTCCAATGGAATAAGTGTGACGCCAATAAGCATCTGTGATTATCCGTTAAACAATAGACTTACACTGTAACATCGTCACATTGTGTCATCCATTACACTTGTGTGACCTTATACGACATAACGTGACAGTTTGAAATGTGCCTTAAACAACTGAACCAAAAAAATGATCAACTGTTTTGTTAGTCTTTGCAATTAAATTAAAACTTTCTACTTTCATTATTTATCATTTTAAATTGATGTTTAATTGTTTGACTCACAAAGTTGATTTACTAAATGATTTATAAACACAAACACAATACATATACCATAATACATAAAATTGACAAAAACACAATTACAGCAGCTAATTAGCAAGAGTCAGTTAGATTTACAGATGTACAATTTTGAAATAGCCTGATCAGCATTTTGTTATTAGTATTTTACAATTTCGATTAAGTTTTTAGATCGATTATTGCTTCTTGATATTAACTTACAGTTCAGAAATGTGTACACTTAAAGATTTATTCAAACGTTGTATCAAAATTAAATTCCTGATTGAGTCAGAGCTAGATGAAGTGCTGATATCAGCAATCGAGCACCTTGACCCCATTCTCTCACCTTTACAACCCACCAAGGTCATGTCGATCAAATAATTACCCAGATATACACATAACACTCACATAGTACTGGATATATACCTATATATGCAACATACAGAATACCTCACTACAAATAATGGGTTTGAGCCACCAATTTGACAAAATAAGTAAATTTAATGACATAATACATCATCTTTAAACTGTTATTACATTTCACACAGAATGAAACAAGTCAAGAAAAACAAATAAAGGTTGCAGCTTAAATCAAGTATTTCTCTATTAAGTTTTCCAATAATATCAATAATAATCTTTGACTTCATGAACAGTGCATTTTTGATACAAATTTTCAGGAAGTGAAAGCAGACATAATACGTTCCTAAAAGAAACATTGATATATTGTTATTATTTCAACATCTGTATCATTGGTGAGGAAAAGAAATATCTTACGTTTACAATGTTGGAATGTTCTATAAGAATCTCAAGTTATCAGTACAACACTCTGAAAGTTTCTTGAGGTGAATCATCGACCAAGAATCTATACCATCTATGTTGATGAAAAGTTTCACCAGAGGGCATACTTAGAAGAATATTTAATTTGATAAAGATATGAAATAAAATCTGAATGAGTGTAAATTGCAACGGATCGAAAATAAAAGAGAAACTATTTTGAAAAAGACCGGATCTCACAACTGGTACCTAATGATTAAGTCTTTGAAAGAGGATTTTGTGCACTTGAGCCATAAAAATATTTTCTTGGTATCTATTTCTTAAGACAAGTATAGCTACTAAAAGAGTATTAAATCTTCCTGTTTTGAAATCTTGTTTTTGTCTTAGTCAAAATCAAATCTGTGACCTGTTATGTCATTGTCAATTGAAATTTACCAACATTCTTCTTTCTTATCTATAGTAAAATTCTTGTTAAGAGTAATGAGGTGGCTGTTTGGCTGAACAATAAATGAAGGGGAAGTAGGTAGTCGACAAGGGTAGCTTCTGAGTTCTTGCTTTTTCATTTGTGTCATTGATAATCCTAAGAACATGATTTGATTTTGCATTCTTTGGACGGAATTGACTTGAATTTTTAATAGGAACGTACAAATATAGTAGAAGTAAATAGAAGTCAGATATGACTGAAAAATAGCGATAAAGATTAAACTGAAAGGAATGATAATAAATTTAGGACCAATGTAAAGAAAACATAAACAAACATGATAGACATGCCAGTTATTTGCTTAGGAAGATATTATAATTAGAAAAGGAAATATTGTAATTAGAGATAAAAGAGAGGTAGATATCATTATAGAATTAAAAACATGTGCCTGGAGAAACAAGTCATGTATTTCCTTTGATTGAAATCAAACGGAATGCTGAGTAACTAATGTTCAAGTGGAACCAAGATGGCAGCTAGGTATTCTGATTGATAGCACCTGATCATTACCTTTGGAACGTTACACTTCGTATACATAGTATTATTACCTAGGTAACGGCGAAAACTCAGCAGAAATCATTTTACAATCCGCCCTCGAGATTCAATTCTTTCTGAATTCTTTTGGTAACGTGATCTTCTATTCTAAACAGACTGGCACGTGCCTCTCCCATCTGTAACCATTAGCAACTAATACAATATGGCGGTTATCTGTCATCGGCGTAAAGTGTTTATGGAGTTTTCAAAAAAGTAAATTAATTTCTCGTTTACTTAGAAATTCAGTCAATATACAAACTTCATCAGCATTATTTTAAAGATTCCAACTTAATCAAATTAAACTTAAGTAAATAATATGTTAATGATGCATTAAGTAAAATATTTTAAAGTAAAACTGCCCTCTTAATTAACTAGAAGTTATATACAGCTCGCAATCTTACATTTAAAAAAAAAATGATGTAAATGAAGCCGAAATATTAATTTTCAGGTTTATTTCTGTTCCAAGACCAACATTAAGACAAGACTTTAGAAAGATTGCAGTCATATGAGATTTACACAAGAGAAACATAAAAATAGATGCTTCAAAAATAATAAGTTACAATTACGGTAGTCATGAAACTTAAAACTAATTATATCAGTAATACGATAACAATGGCAAGAAAAGTTTTCGTCGTTATAGGGGAAAAAGTAAACAATTGAGAAATATATAACAATAAACATCAAGATAAAACAATATACTGAGTCAGCATCCAGATAGAAAATCTATTCTACATGCTAATAACAGTGTTTAGTAGGCTAAACTATCTTGATATACCTTATCCGCATTTGGGCATCGGCATAATGGCATGGTGCCAGAACACTTTCTATCTTTTATCATCTTTGAGTATACTATTACCCCAAGTCTACCTATAGTTGATTATTACCACATACTGAGACAACACATTACGTACATTATAGATTAGGGTGGAACTTTCCGTAGTTCTTTGACGGCAGATACTCAAATGCTCTCAAGCTGTGAACTTTGATATCACATTAATGAGAAATCGGTGTAAACAAACAAATTTAAAAACTAAAACTTGTAATAAATTGACATGAACCTCGGTGAACTAGTTTTTCGGTTATATTCTATTATGTTTCATCAATCATAAATTTGATAGAATCTGATTGATTCTTTTGGAATCTAATATAAATAGACATTACATAATATACTTACAAATTCATAATTAGATTTCCACACATTAATAAAAGTTTAAATTTTAATAAAAAAAAACACAAATTCGTTAATTATGAACTTTGCTCTGTTTGTACTGAAATCGAGGTAGTCTGACCTGGCATAAACTTTGTTTAATTTCTATGGTCGGTTGCTTACTGTCAGTGCCTTCAGTTGGATATTAACTTTCAACCACCCTAATATCTAATAAACAGATACATAAACAAAATACACACATAGGTACAATACAAAAAATAATCAAATCGTATTTTTTCCTGTGGATTACTTCACTTCATGAAATTCATTTGTTATTTCATACAAAAATTCAACATTAGAAAAAAGGAATCGAAATATTCGATCCGTTTAATGACTATTAAGAACCATTCCAAATGATTAGTTCGAAAAATCAAATGCAAATGTTTGATAGCAAATTAATTATGCGTGGAGTAGCTTATAAGATGGAAGCTGCCAAAGGATTAATTCCAGATCCATACAAAGTATATAAAATTTACGGATTAGTTGGAATATGTACATCAGTTATCTAACTAACCTAGAATTCGTTGTCAGTTGATTTGGCACATTTATTCCTGGCAGACTAATATTTGTTACTATAAATAGTACAACCAGCGCCTTTTAAGGGAAAGGTATAGCGCGTGCAATAGTCGTGAAATCTTACCGGTATGCAATGTTTCCTAGACAACAAAAATTCTCAAATTAGAAATCAACATCTATTTTACAAGTTAAAATTATCAAGAGTTCTATATAAATGAAGTTTGTAATCTAGAACATGGGAATAATTGTGATAAGAAGGTGTCAGACTCTACATATCCTTTATTTCTGACTTAAAGTAAAATAGTTCTCTTAGTACATCTTTATCAGAACACTGATAAATTCTAGTCGACCTCAGTTGCACAAGATAAACAACATCAAATATACATAATCCTTTACCTCACAGTACTGGATCTTAAAACACATAAAAGTTAGCTCGTGCATCATGACCTGGGTCACTGTGTTTTATTGTAAGCACATTAACAAACCATCGTGCACTGCAGAAATTAATCAAACCATTTCACAAGATGAAACAATTTCCACAAAATTATATAAATGTTGTAATATAAGCAACATAATTTTTACTTTATAATAATTCTTATAGTCTCTTTTGCTTTAGTTTTTTTTTGTTGCATCTTCTTATATAGCCGTATAAAACCTGTATTGCTGTTGAAATTTTTTTGTTTATTATTAACCCTTCATCATTCAATTCCACAGACCAATACGGAAACATCATCATCCAGTAGAGTTGTCAAAACAGAAAAGGCATTTTTTGAAAAGGAGGAGACTCGATATCAGGTATAACGTCACGAGCACATGTTATTGAATGACGTCAAGTGTGACGTGCGGATTTGAAGTGACGTGTATTACAAATGATGTCATAGTTTGTGATCGCTTTAAATACCGTTTTCCATTCACATTCGCAATATCCATTTTGATGTGATCGTAGACCAACATGACTATCCAAATCCATATCCCAAATAGTTATTACCTTTTTTGTTCCTCAAAGAGTGGGTTTTGTCTGATGATTTTCCTTTCTGACACGAACTTTCCTTATCATCCTCATCACATCGTTAAATCCAAGCATACCATTCCGTGAAATCTATAACGGCAATTCTATCGTACTAATTCTATCTTTCCGGTTTTTCTACTTTTTCCGCATCCTCTTTTTTTCAGCATGCAAGTATTTCATTTCAATCTCTTTTTTTAAATGTTACTTTTATTATTTTGTAAAATTAATCTTTATTTACATAATTAAGGTAGTTTTCATAATAGCAAAAGGTTAGAAATTACAGCACATAGATAATGTATTCACTATCCATAACCCCAATCCAATAAAGTAATGATGTTTTTTTTTTTTCCAGTCCAGAATTCGAGAACTCGAAGACAGTTTAGATTTTGAAAGAGATCACCGAGTTCGAGTAAGTATCTCACATCTACTCTAAAACGAATATAAAGTTACAATCTCATCAATTGCAAAACTAGGAATATTTTCACAAAAATAGTGACTCAAAGACAGTTAAAAATATATGAAGAAGCATGGGCGAAGAAATTCCATACATTGTGTTCTCTTATGCAGTATTTTATATATTAAACAATATCTTTCTTGTTTTAGGTTGAGAAACTCCTCGCCGAGACCCAGTTCCAATATGACCAACTTTCAGACAGACTTGAAGAACAAGGTGGTCAGACCTCCGCTCAGGTAGGCTATGTATTCATTTCAAATGTTCTGCTAAAAATATGACTAGATCTGGTGCTTCAGCAAACACGACAATCCCACATTATTGGCTATATAGAATACCGTACAAGTAGAACTTGATAGTTTCCAAGACTGGTTATTTCCTCTCAATAAGAAAAGTGAATTATTGCCATTGTCATCATTAAAATCAAATGTCAGTCGCCGTGAAGGAATACTAATTGTCCATAATCTTTATTATCGCCAAATGAAAATTATTTTATCATTTCAGATCGAAATCAGCAAGAAACGTGAATCAGAACTCTCCAAATTAAGGAAAGATCTTGAAATTGTCAACATTGCTCATGAAGGAGCCGAGCAAAGTTTACGAAAACGACACAATCAAGCCATTGCTGATCTCACCGACCAACTTGAACATATGAGCAAAACCAAAAATAGGTAAGTATCATTTCTTCAACATAATGCCTTCAATCCCTTTAAGGCGATATGACATACTTTCTTTATAAACAATATCTAACTTTACTCAGTCAAATGTCTGTTCGGAACAGAATTGTCATATGCGTGGTTCCATTTCCCACTATCAATGCCTTTGAGCTATTTATCAAATAGCCATTTATTGTTGTTGCCATAAAAAAAATGAAGTATTTTGTCTGCAAACCACACGTTACTTCTTTTTCTCCATTTAAACGATTATCATAATGAAATACCGGTCCCATATCTGTAAAATTGATTTTATTTCACTCAATGCAATATCAACTATTTTATTTTTTTGTCATCTGTTTTTAGAGTAGAGAAAGAAAAGCACCAACTTATCATTGAAATCGATGGTCTTCAGGGAAGCCTTGACTCTCTTACCAAGGCCAAGGTTAGTCTTAAAATCTGTGCTTGTCCTAGTGAATACATTACTGAACAACGCTTCGTTATTTTTTTACATTCATTAAAAACCTGGCGCTATCATTATGAAGTGTTCTCAAAATTATTCATGGGTAGTTTCAGGTGCAGTCAATTCCTTTGTGTATCTTTATAATGATAATTTCTGTTTTTTCGCATTACAGACCTCTGCTGAGAACCGGGCCGATGCCCTTGCTGGTAGCTGTGATCGTCTCAAGGGTCAGGTTGATGATCTTACACGACAAGTCAACGATCTTTCTGGTCTTAAAGCTAGACTGACCCAGGAGAATTTCGACCTCCAACACCAAGTTCAGGAACTCGACTCTAATAACGCAGCTCTTGCCAAGGCCAAGGCCCAACTCCAGGCCTCCAATGATGATCTGAAGAGAAATCTCGATGATGAGAGCAGAGTAAGTAGTGTAAAAAGTAAAAAAAAATAAGGAATATTTTGTCGTTTTCTGTTCATTTACCAACACTTATGGTAAGAACATCGTCATAAGGAAATTCACACTTTCAGTCTTTTATAAGTTAAGGGAACAATATATTTAGTGATGCAACAGTTTTTTTCAGTCGATTTTTTTCACGGATTTAAAACTCTTATATATTTCACTTTCAGCAAAGACAGAATCTTCAAGTTCAAGTACAAGGTCTCCAAGTTGATTTTGACAGTTTGAACGTCCGCTATGAGGAAGAGGTTGAAACCTCCACCACTCTTCGTACCTCACTCGTCAAAATACAAGCTGAATTCACTTCATTGAAGACAAGATTTGACAAAGAGATGCTCGCCAAGGCCGAGGAACTCGAGGAAACTAGGCGTAAGCTTAATGCCCGAATCCAAGACTTGGAAGATCAATGCGAACAACTCAGAGCCAGAAACAGCAACTTGGAAAAGGCAAAATCCAAACTCACTATGGAACTTAAAGAAGTCACCATTGAATTAGAAAACGTGAGTAATATTTAACCATATGAAATTAAATTACATTATGTGGCATACATTTCATAAGAAGAAATACATGTTATAACCTTGTTTTAAAGCATTGCTCTTCAAGACATAAAGCAACATTTAGTTTCATTTCGATTTTACAGACTCAAATCATCGTACAAGATTTGACCAAGAGAAACAGACAATTGGAAAATGACAATGCCAACCTCCAGAGACGAGTAGATGACCTTTCGAAAGAAAATGATGCCCTTAGAGCCGAAAAGGCCGCCCTTGAACAAGAGTTGTACAGAATGAGAGTTGCCAATGCCGAACTCACCGAGAGAAACGAAGCTCTCCAACGTGAAAACAAGAGTCTTGCTGGTGAGTAACCTACACGATCTTTCTCTAACAACGCCCAAGAAGTTGTTCATAATCTAAACATGTGCATAAAATACAAAATGGTTACATTTTTTTGAAACAGTTTGAGATGGATTTTAGGTCTGTCTGATACTTAATTTTAATCTGCCTCTATATTTCAGACCAACTCCGTGAAGCCAACCTTGCCCTCAAGGATGCTAACAGGGAACTTGCCGAACTCAGATCCATCCGAGCCCAACTCGAACAAGAGAGAGACTCTCTTGCCGCCGCCCTCAGAGATACTGAAGATGCTCTTAAGGATGCTGAAAACAAATTGGCTGCCGCCAACTTAGCCTTGAACAACCTTAGAGTTGAGATGGAGAACAGACTTAGAGCCAAGGATGAAGAAATTGATAACATCAGGTAAGAATCCCAGTTGGCTTTAGCTGTAAAAATATTCTGTATCTATTCCCTAAATCAAGAGATGTGCTGTTTATAATTAAAGTGGTAATCGTGTTATATTAGTAATATATAAGTTGTATCTTTCAACCAGTCCTTTCAAATTTTCTTGATTAATAAGCGAATACCTTTAAGAATGAAAATATAGAGCCAATATTTCTTTTACAAAATTACAATGAAAACATTGCTGACCTTTTCATCTTATGACTAGATATCAATGGAACGTTATTACACCAAAAGAATTCTATTCTGAGATTAGGTACTAAGTGTAACACTGTGCCGCACTGAACACAGATTTGACTAGAATTGACAGCAAACCGATGGCTTTACATGTTTTGATCTATATAAAAAACGGAAAGGGTTAGATCTTGTGTTACGTTTGCTAACTATCAGGTAAAGATCAACAGTATGACCCCTTTGACCTATTGCCTAAAAAATGCTGTTTAGTTTGTGATAGGATACATATGTTCGATGTTTACAATCTTGTGTGTACTGACTAAGCAAAATTTGATACTAGCTAAGAGAGTGGGAGGTGAATCGATGGATATAACAATAATATCTACAGACATTTAACCATATTCTTGGGTATATCTGAAGCCTTGTGAGGGTGGGTCACATATTGGAGGCAGATGCTCTTTAAGAGTTCATCTTGATCAGCACTGATATATTTTTCTAGAAGTTTCTCAACGTGATGCTTTTCAAATTACAGGAGAAGCAGTGCCCGTGCTATTGAAGAATTGCAGAGAACACTGGTTGAAGTTGAAGTCCGCTACAAGACTGAAATCAGTAGAATCAAGAAGAAGTACGAATCTGACATCCGTGAACTCGAAGCTGCTCTTGACAACGCCAATAGAGCCAATGCCGAATATCTTAAACAGATCAAATCCCTCCAAGCCCGTGTTAAGGTAAGCATGATTTTCATTCGTAGTTGACAGTGAGCTCATGGTCGTTGTTGATGTAAATGAGTTTGAATCAATTGGAGGTCTCAATAATTTCACTATTACATTACATGTACTTACATACATTGGTAATAAGAGTGCCAAAAATATCTGAAGACAACGTGTCTGGTATCATACCATGCTCAAGAGATGCACATAACATTTGTCACGCCAGAACTTCTGTGTAAACAACTATATAAAACTATATGCAAATTCAAAACCTATTAGTTATTCAAACAAAGTAAATAAATCTGGTGTATACGAATGGAAATACACAATGTCCTCTTCTATATGTAAACAGAAAAGTTTTAATAGATCTTCTATAGTCAATAGCATTCAAAATAAAAAACAAACAAGAAAGAAAAAAATTATCTCAGAAAAGGCACTACCGCCTAAATCATCTGCAATGATAAAAATCGAAATTAACGAAAAATGTCTAGCGGTAATTGAAAATTGTACACATCATTGAAAACGAAATAGGTAATGGAATCAAATCAAAGCTGCCAGAAATTTTTTTTCTTCAACTCAGCGGTTTTTGTTGTAAGAAATAAACTTGCTGATTTCCTAATCTTTCTGTTTAGCAATAAAATATCGCAAGTGTGCTATTTTTCTCTGTTATTTTGGCACCAATTTTCCTCGTTTATTTGTCAGATGAAGAGTTATACCACGTGTTTGGCACGAGTTCAAGTATTTGTGTATCTGATATAGAAGATGTTCTGTTGGCCATATACAGCCAACACTTTTAGCTAGCATCATTCTAAACTGCCACTTACTTTTCAATGTTTATCAAAAATTTTTGTACATACGAGAACATATAAATAACCTAACTAGAGGAAAATAACAATCAACAACATTTCTTCTCAAATTATCCATTGTACAGAATGATAACAAATGAACAGATTATTTTGTTGAGATAAAAGCCTCAAAAGTAGTTGATTCTCCTTTCTTATGAAATAACACCTGATGTCACTTGGTGACCCGGGTTTACATTGGCTATTTATTATTCAGTATTTAGAATTACTTTACAAGATACCTTCCTATTTTCTGTTTATACTTGTTTCCAAACCGACACCATTCATCAAAGGTAAAGGTTTTTCCATGCATTAACTTTGGTATCAACAATTGCAGTATTATTTCACTTGAGCGACTGTTTTTTCCAGGAATTGGAAAGTCTTTTGGATGATGAACGACGTGTATCCGATGATCTCCGAGGTCAACTCACCGTCTCCGAAAGAAAGAGAGTTGCTCTTAACCAGGAATTGGAAGATTGCAGATCTCTTCTTGAAAATGTAAGTAGGGTCTCTCTTAAATTGACAGGTTATAACTTAACTTCAGGTAGTGGACTAACATGGAATATAACTGTACCAATGAACAAATCTTTGACATTTTAGATCAATTCCTGCAAATCGTCCACTTTCAAAAATATATTATTTATAATATGGATTGTTTGGTCATGGACTAAATTTTCCATGCGAACCAAGAAGTCGATTTGGTAAATTACTTATCTTCTTAGTTAATCAATACAATTGGATAGCTCTTATTCTTTGAAGTTACAAGACTTGTATATATTTTATCCTTTAATCTTATCGTTATTCCAGGCTGAACGTGCTCGCAAGAACGCTGAAAGTGAACTTAATGACGTCTCTGTCCGTCTTACTGAAGTAACCTTACAAGTCACTGCCCTCACCAACGACAAACGCCGAATGGAAGGTGATATCGCCGCCATGCAATCCGATCTTGATGAAGCCATCAACGCTCAAAGAGCTGCTGAAGAACGAGCTGATCGTCTTCAGAACGAAGTTGGAAGACTTGCTGATGAACTTAGACAAGAACAAGAAAACTACAAGAACGCTGAAAGTCTCAGAAAACAACTCGAAATTGAAATCCGTGAAATCACCGTCCGATTGGAAGAGGCTGAAGCTTATGCTCTCCGTGAAGGAAAGAGAATGGTTGCCAAATTACAAGGCCGAGTGAGTACACTTAAGTCAAACAGACGCTATAGTTGCATCATTTCGAGTTACAGTTAGTTTGTTTTATCGCTTGCTTTACAACTTAAGGAATTATTATTCTGTGAAATACTATGATGATTGACATTCGCTTTACTTTATAGGTGAGAGATCTTGAAGCTGAATTAGAAGCTGAAATGCGCAGAACACGAGAAGCTGTTGCAACACAAAGAAAAGTAGAGAGAATATACAAAGAATACATCGTTCAAACTGAGGATGATCGCAGACAATTAGCTGAATTGAGTAGCATTAACGATACATTGGCAAACAAAGTCAGACAATACAAACGACAGATGGATGAAGCCGTAAGTGATAACTTTTATTGCGTGATTGTTAACTAAGCATCAGATATTCTGGAAAATATCCGTGTCTTGCCTCGAACAGGGCAAAACTTTAAAGAGACTTTAAAGACTTAAGCTTAGAACTTTATAGAGCAAGATACTGCCTTTTGGGATTAATCAACTCTCAATTATATTCCTGAAGAAGCTGCTCTTCTGGTTATGAGGTGCATGTATCCAATTTCTTGACTCCATATTTAGTTGCATCACGATATTGAGACAAGGGCGTCTAATAGTCTAATATTTCATTAATTATCTTTTGCAGGAAGACATTGCCAACTTGACAATGAACAAATACCGCAAAGCCAACGCCTTAGTTGAAGAAGCTGAACACCGAGCTGATCTTGCCGAAAAGAACCTTACCACAGTCCGTAGAGCACGATCCATGTCAGTTACAAGGGAAGTGGTGTACTCAATCTAAATCTTCTAGAGTAGCAGTCTACTTATACATTTGGGGTCAGAACGGCAGTCAAATTTTAGCTTAAATTCATTCTCGCTGTAGTTGATGTATAAAGCTATGTTTCTATGAGTTCTTGACTTTTGGCATACTTCGAGTTTATACTTTTATCAATCTGATGGTGTTATAATTTTAAGAATTCAAATTGCGTTTTAATAAATCTCATGAATAATCATTCGATCGCGAACTCAGTTCTTAGCTGTTTAACCTCTCAATCATAGTTGATAGCTCTGTAACTTTAAACTTTTCGGAACATAGCTTTTGATGTTTTAATCCTTTGCCAACTTGAATAAATCCTTGACGTTGATGATGTTCGCTTTGTACTTGAAATGAAATCCCTTACGCTTTCAACGTTTGTACTTTATGCTTTTTGTATTTCACTTCTTGGTATTAATTTGAATCTCTGGGTTATTTCCTCGGGTCATTTTGGTAAATTAGAATGAGCGAGAAATAAATAATGCTGCCTTTCTGGTTCCTCATCATAAATTTCAATACATTGCTTCGTTCATTTATTTTAAATGAAAAGTATTTCAAGTCTCAAAATAACGAATCCGTAGAGAAAAAGCAATATTATTTAGACTACTGCATTTACCTATTGAGAAAAAAAAATGCCTATAACTAAAAAAAGCGAACTTTACTTTCCTTAAAAAAATGAACGAAACAAATGTATAATATCTTCTTATTTAGCCAGCAAAATTTCATGAATCATATTATCTAACACAGCGCATGCATTTTTGCATCCTAATATCCATCAACATCAGTACTATATCAGATTTCGTCTTTGGGAATTCTTTGGGTCATGGCGATGTTTGCTTGTAATATCCTTTCATTGAGACGGGCACACTTGCACTAAATGCACACTTATTTAAGATTACTCATTTATTTTATGAATTTATCTACATATATATGTTATCAGTAAATGGAGTTTCTGAGATGAGACGGCGCTTTCCAATTTAAAAGACGTAATTATATACATTATATAATTCATAAAATGCTTTTCATTTACGAATTAGATTTATTACTTTAAATTATCAACGATTTTTGTCTTACAATTCTGTCGGCCTATTATAGGCCTAATTATACCGGTATTTCCCCTGCGTAACAACTTTTTCTTTTCTATTACAGGGTTTCATCTGTGGTAAACGTCTAAATATAAATGTATTAGAAATGGTTCTCGCTACCAACCCAACTTTTTCTTGTATAAAAGTTTATTTTATATTTTATGGCATCGCGTTGAAACTTGCTTTCAATTTAATCCATATCAAAGCATATTGGGATGTGGCTAACGCTATAAACAGCTGTCACGTGTTCTGTTGTCATGGTTACTATGCATGTGCACGTGGTGGATTGTCGAAGTGTTATGTCATTAAGCCGGAACTTCTGCTGCATCTTTGGAACATGATTCAACAAGTGCCTTTTTACTATTTAGGGGGGTTTCTCAATTCAATTACAGTCAAAAGCTGAACAAGGAATTATCAAAAACGAATATTGGACATTTACTAACCTTTAGTAAAATAATAGGAAATTAAAAGCCCTTTGTTTTCGATTTGTTTACATTGATCATTTGTATTTTATTTTTCCTTTTTTGTAAAATCAAAAGATGGGAACATCTTTGTCAAGGGGACATTACGTGCAATAAATTTTAGGTTTTAAATAATTGTCATTGTGATAAATGTTTTTATTTATTTTTAAATCAATTTTATTTATTTCTTTTGCCAAAGGAAACAATATCTAAAAATAATGAAAAAATATATCTCAGGAGTTGTTGATTATGCGAGTTCAAAGGTCATATAGTGTTGATTTTAGGTAATATAATCAGGATAGGAGAGTTATCAGTCCTGTTCTATGTTTGCGAGTGTCCGTTTGCAGGATTTGCCTAAAGCGGCGTTGTTGATTTCTTGGAATGGAATTTAGCATTTATACTTCGATCATATTTTTCTTTGTTCTTTTACCACCATATTAGCTTCTAGAATACGAATCGTTCGTAGATGAATTATTTTTTATCATTAAGGTTATAAGCGACCTAACCACAAAATGGCGGTCCACACGTCGTTGCGACGTCTGCAAGTGTTTATTTTCAATCTGTCTATTTATTTACGAATAATGCAATGTATATGTGTATTTATTTTTTCTTTTTCTCTGCTCCTCGCCGCAGTCGCATTTTTTTGTCAATAAATACTATCATTGCAGCTTTGTTAATCCGACTTTTTAATCCTGATTTGACTTACCCCTGGCTTTAATATTCTTCAACATGTCAATTCCGATTGCGCACTTTCCAAACAGAATCAAAGCTATATCGTGAACTAATTATTGGGGTGGCCATATAATATGGCCATGAAAAGTATTATGTAGGTCTTAAGCTACTTCTTTGTCCTTCACTATAGCTTATAGCCTAGCCTATTACCAATCCTGAAATCCAAGAAGATGGTTGAATCCAAACAAGATCTTCAATCGATTAGGCATACTAGTGATTTGGCTACGATCCAATTGAGGAATTTGATCACATCGTCCTCAATATTGCATCATAATTATCACTTACACAAAACACATAACATTATCTAACACAAAACACATGACATAATCTTACTACAGAATTAAAGTCCAAAAGCATTCCATTTTGTCAGTTGCAATGAAATTTTTCTCCGGAAACTGATGAAGTCGAGTCTCTTAGCCTATCTGTATGGAATGACAATACGGCATAATAGACAAGTCCTTTTCCCCCGACATGGTTTATAATAAAAATAACCAATAAGTGCTTTTACTAATCGTCACAACAGAAATAAAACACGCACCAAACATTAAACATTAGAGACCAGGCAGTAACATGGAGTTATATTCATGTGTGGACAGTAACAACTATTATCCCGCCAAGCTATTACTTAATGGGGCCGCTCGATTGGTGAGTTCATGGCCTTTGATAAACAAGTTGGAACATAGTTCAGAACGCCTTTCACGTGTGCCGAAAAAATGTAGGAGCAGAGAAAGCAATAGAAGGGAAAAATTTTAAAGTGACATAATCTGGTTCTATACCTTTCAATTGAGGCCAAAACCTGTTCAGAACTCATCAAACGTTTTTCATTTGATTTGAATTGGATCCCCTTAAAAATATTCGGACCACAAATGATTTGGAAAAACAGTTTCTTTTTCCAACTGCAATGAGGCTAATAGCACATTTTAAACGATTTAAAGAAGCGTTCCCCTATTTTCATTTATGAAACTGAAATTGCTAAAACTTATATGAATAGAAAGTAGAGGTGTTCCAATGACTTGAAACAATACCAGTTTGTCTCACATGTCCATAATTAATTCATAATTAGCTAAATTTGAAGAGAATTAACAGCAGAATTCCGATGAATGACAATAAAGAAAGGTATTTTTTTAGTTTATACAGGCTGTACATACACGGACATTTATGATTGGTTAAAACTCTTATTTATATACAATAAGAACATTATGATATGATTAAGAATACATGATAATTCATTACAAGCACCAGTTAATCAAATAGTATGCTTAATTTGACACTAAAAGATAAGGAAACCCATCTTTAAATACTTTTCTAATAAAAAGGTTTGGGATTGGCACAAAAAGTGAACTACAAAAAAAAAGAGGATATTGTCTCTTAAAATTCTGCCTATTTTCATAAGCCCAATGGTGCAGAAGAAGAAATAAAACTTCATTTAATTTCTCCTTATTTACCATGTTTAACCTTTCCACTTAAGTGCATTAGTCAAACTAAAAGGACTTTGTCTAAAAATATAGAGTTAGGTCATAGATAATGGGAAGAATGGATATGTTAGAGAGAGCCTGTGAAGGGATTCCATCAAGTTAAGTACATGTTAATAATGTAATATGTTTCATCTTCGTCTTGATTATTGGTGTTTATTATGAATTATCCATGTATTCTTAATCTAAAGAAATGTATGTGGACCGAAAAGACTATTGGAATTTTATGTGCTAAATCTATTTGGAAGGAGATAGTTCAAACTAATTCATTCTATTTTTGGAAAAAGACTCATATAATTTTTCCTGTTGCTGGAAATAAAAAATGGAATACCAAAATACTCAAGTAGCTGTTGCATATAATCGTGTTATGACCAATCATTCCATGGCTGTACAGGCTGGATTAAAATAGATTTATTGACCTTTTCACTCTTTGCAAAATTCATTTGCATTCAATACTTAACTAATTATGATTTAATTAGGGACTCCTGAACACCTTTACTTTCAATTGATTAAGTATTAATTGCCCAATAATTAAATATATCTTGAATAAATGAAAATAAGGGAAGGCATCTTTAATTTTCAAATCTAAATAGGTTGGTGTAATTGGTAAATGTCTATGTCAAGATTTTCTGGAGAAGGGGGGCTCAAAATATCAGCTCACAAAAATAAATTGTTTCATGGTACACATGACAGATCATGGTTGCCTTGAGTTGTAGTCTGTGAAAAATAGATCACAATATCCTTGATTTTCATTTTCATGAGATTAATTCTACAACATAGATTCAAGAACACGTCTCCATTGTATTTCTTTGGCATCTGAAATATTTTATGAAGATGATCAATTATGATAATATTGCGAAATATATTCTAATTGTCTTAATTAATCATAAAACTAATCACTATCACTGTCTGAATCATCATCTTCATCATCTTCCTCACATTCTTCTTCTTCTTCTTGTGTCACATCCTTGTTAATGTCAGCAAAAAAATTTTCGTCTCTACTAAACAACTTCTTTGTTTTATATTTAGTTACTCGTTTTTTATTTATCTTTAACTTTTCCAACTTTTCAATATTCCAAAATTTAACACATTGATCATGAGAACAACTAGCCAATAAACATCTGTCATGACTCAGGCTAAGACCTTCAATAGGAAATCCATCATGTTCCCCTATTATACCCATAAAACTATTTGGTAAAATATTGACACCTCTGAAAGATAAATCATTGCAATTTATTTAAAAAAATTATAGAATATTTGAGTGAATAACTTTATAAAGATCCATCTTTTAAAATAGGAAATGATGTTATAAAGGGATACTATTGATATTAAGATACTCTCTTCATTTTTTCCCTTTAATTTCATGTTAAATCCAATTCAGATTATTTAAAATTATTAATCAAATAAAAAAGTGGATAGTAAATGTACCAATGAAATGAATAATGACAAAACCTACAGAATCATAAGTCACATTATAACATTGTTTTATTCCTTTAATATATAATGAAAAGCAGTTTACCTTATTATTCCATCACTGCTACCAGTACAGACAATATTTCTATTAATAGGTACCAGACAATCCACAGCATCTGTGTGACCAGGAAACAGATCACTATTTAAACCCCACTCATTCCAGTTAAATATATTTAGAGCACCATCCCCTGAACCACACACTACTTTTCTTTCGCCCTAAAATTAAATATGTATCAAGACGTTACTTGCAAGCAGGAAACTTAAACGAGTTGAAGTTGACTTTGTGTCAATCAACAAATTTCAGAAATTTTATGCCCTGGACTGAATTGTTCATAAAGTTGGATATGATGACATTAAAATTATGATACAATTATAGTTACAGATATTCCCATATGACAGGCAAGACTAAACATGTGAACTTATACGTATTCATAAGACAAAAGTTACAGACAGACTCACAAATTTCACTGTCTGTAAAAACACGACCATGAAGTTAGAATATCCAATTTCATGTGTATCCTTATAGAGCTTTTCATAATTGTATTATGAATTATGGCCACAGATTTTGGACTTAAAAAAACATTTTCATAAAATTACTTACCTTAACAATGGCTAAACATTGTAATTCTGAATCAAAGACTTCAGATTGTACAGTCATTCTTCTTTTCCTGATATCAAAAGCTGTTAGAGTACCCTCTCCACTGGAATACATAGAATACAAAGATTCATACAAAGCTTCAACTCTAGACAATTTAAAATATAGTCAAGACTTCAAGAATTTAAAGTACCAAATTCCAATGGAACTTTAGTTATAGTAGAGCTCATCAAACTTGCTCCTGAAGTATTAATAAAAAAATTACATGCTGCATTGACTTATTAAGAGAACCCACTGTAATAATACAACTTTAAGTTTCAAGAGTCAATTTCTTTATCATTCAAATCTTATGTTGACTAACCTGGTAGAGAGTAATGTTCTTTTACTAGAATCAACAACCATATCACTGATATACTCATCATTCTCTTTAAACTCACAAATTGATTTACTTTTTCTTAAATCCCATACCTGGTAAATAATTAATTTCATTGAAATTGCTTGCTGACATTTAAGAGTAATAATCTTATCAAAAGAAACAGATTAATTGTGATTTAACACAGAATAACTGAACACTCCTTTTAATTTGTTATGTCTGATGTTCAATAAGGTCTTTTAATTTCAAAAGTGTACTTGTCAAATACTGAAATTAAGTTTTTTACCTTAATTCTCCCATCATCATCTCCTGTAGCAATAATATTTTCATCTGAGACTAATAAACAATAGATAGGTGATCTAGAAAAAAATACAATTCTTAAAAAATGGCGCTAAATATCAAAAGTAGAGTATTAGTTATTTGGCAAACATACAAATGTAACCTTAGGTGACAAGTTGAAATACGATTATCAAAAGTAATAATAAGAAGATGCTTTTGAAATGAGGCATGAGATACTAAGTCACATTAAATTATGTTAATCATGTGTTAAATTAGTTGGTATCTTGGCTAAAACCCAACTTACTCATGTGCAGCTTTGATTTTATTCTTAAGTTGTCCAGTATCTAGATCACAACATTTGATAGATTTATCTTTTGATGCTGTAATTAAACAGTTTCCTGATGGATTAAATTTCAATGCTCGACATGATTTTTTATGATGTTTATAAGTGTTCTCCAATTTATTTTCTCCATCTATTTTGTATGTATATCTGAAACAAAAATGATTTGAGATTGAAATATAATATAGAGATGTGCTACACATGATAAACCTTTGATGTTATATATCCAGACAATTGCGATAAGAGTTTAACATAATATATTATAGGAAAGAACCATGTTAGCCTTATGAAAATGTCATACTATGTGCATAAAATGATATTTTGACAAAGTCAAAAATGTTTTTGCTTTTACATAAAATTTATTGAAAATGCTTTTCCCTACAATATTCTAATTCAGTCTTTGCTGAAGTTATCAAGAAATATAAAATTTTCAATACATGTATACAATTATAAAAAATCTTTACAATATCAAATACCAAACTCACAAATCTACATCACCATTAATTGAACCTATTGCAATTAAATCTTTACTAGGATGATAACAAACATTCACTACCAAGTCATCAAACTCTATGTCATTGGGTTTGTTTGCTGGCTTCTAAAATTTAAAAATAAAAGAGATATGATCGTATCATTTTACTAGAATTTAATCTTAGCTGCCTGCAGCAATTTAAACATAATATATTAAATATAGGAAATTGAAATTGCATAATTGTCATCAGATGCAGGCTTTATCACAGCAGTCACATAATGCTTATACTACTCTCGGACTACATTGAGCTTTTTTTCTCTCATTTCATAAATAATCAAAATGAAATTATTAACTGTATGCCATTTGCCTTAGATTGTCTTCGGGCCTATAGACATATAAGGTTCTATGCTTTTACATTTGAAATAGACACATTTCCCTCTCATAGACTCTCCCATTAAATTCATGTGAAAACAACCTACTTTTCAGACAAAAAGTACCCTCTGTAAAATCATAGTTAGTTATATAGTAACTTTTCCAATGATTGACATTTTCATCAACCAAAAAACAATCCAGGATGCTCCTATCTAGAAAATGACCTACTTTTCGAAATGAAAATACACCTCTGTAAAATCATGTTTAAAAATAATAACTTTTCCAGTGTTTGGCATTTTCATCAACCCAAAGACAATCAAAAACTCTCAGTAGTATTTTGTTATAGATATTTCAGTTCATATGTAAATTATTGCCAAAATTCAATTCAGAAAGCATTAAGCAGTGTAGTCGGAGAGTAGTTAAGTCACAAGTGTGTAATCAGAGAGTAGCGTATCATATCAATATTTTGCTTTTGACGAACATTATCTTAAGTCAAAAGTTACATTATCGGGAAATTAAAAAAATCGGCCTTGCTAAGACAATGGGAAATGTATATATGCAAATTTACGGTGAATATAATAGACAAAAGTATCACGTGTTAAAAATTAAATTACTTTCGACGCCATATTTGTTTACGGATCTGTTCATATGTAGACTTTATCTGTATTATTAAAACGAAATCTGAAATAATTAAAAAAAAGTTCACAAAGATTATATCTTTAATCTAATTCAAACTATATCTTAGAAAGTCTGATAACTTACAATAGCGTAATATTAATTTGATGAAAATAAAAAGAAAATAGGTAAGTTTCGTATCAGAACCTCAAAAGCTTTTGAATTTTAGCTTTTAGGAGGACTTGCTTGGTAAAAGCTTGCCTTCTTAAAAATGTTTCCAGTCTTATGCAAAGGTAGATCTACAAAATCAATCAAATACCGAAGATGTAGCATTCATACACATTCTAAATATCGTCTAAAAATCCATCTTGGTCCTCTTTCATAATGTCGTGAGTCATGGAAAATTGTATATATGGTTACGTATTAGCAGTCAGTAATTTAAAGTCTGGCTACGTTTTATATTACAGGGATGCTAAACAAGTACATATTAGTAAGACAGTGTCGGTATCGATAAACAAGGTGCGGTCTACATTCTAATTAATTACTTTCCATTAATTGGAAGGCTTCATTTGGGCGGTGACCATCGCTACCTCAACAACTGTCATAATGAGTAAAGTTGGAAGAGATCGCCGGGAAAATATCTCCAATGTTTTGTTACGTGTGCCCATTTTTGCGTACGCCGTTGTAACGGTTTCATTGCCTGCCGTTGCTTTATTTTTATGTTTTGTAACGGCTGTCATATTTCGCTATGACGAGATTAATGACACACAATGCAATGTAAGTATTGTTTACTTCTTTCTTGCACACCACATCTTAAAATTTTCAGTCAACCACTAATCTCCTCTTTCCTTGGAGACACTTGCATGAGTCAAACATTTACGGCCAAGGACGCAAGGTTTTAGATTTTGATTTTGGGCTGTGCATATAGTGTACTATAAGTATGAGGTAGAGTGATATTGATAAAAACAGGCATTATCTGTCAAGTAACAAATCAGTATGGACCCTAGTTACCAGCTTGGTAATTTTGGTACCAAGTGTTTAGACATTTCTTACTATGCTGTAATAACAACCACTTGTACAGCATAAGATTTTAAGAGAAATTGGTGTATTTGTAATTGTAACAAGATATAGATTATTATCTTAGACTGTCACATCCGATCTATGTTTCTAGCTATACCAAACTCTTTAATTAATTTTAAATTTGAAGTGAAGCACATTCTTATTTGTAGTGTTAGAATAATATTATTATTACTATTATTATTGGGTCACATCTGAATCTTTGCCATCTTAAGGCACTTCTTATTATGCTAGTAACTGCTATAAATGTATAAAAAAAATTTCAGGTTACCAACTTTGTTCCTTCTATAAGTGCAGTAACAGGAATCAGACCACAAACCTATCTCTGGAAGATTTGTATAGCTCTACATTCAGCGCCACGATTTGCTGTGGCTGTTATATACTATAATTATTATAAAGACCTGCTGTATTTAGTGTCTGACAAATACAAAGGACTGTTTGGGTTTTTGATGACAGTTAATTTTTGGTTCAACACCATAGAAGATGCCAGCTTGGTTGGAGTAACATACATTTCTAATAAAGACAATTATCGTAAGTATGCTCCCTTTTGTTTTTCAGTGGGAAGATATAGAAATGTTTAATTTGTTATTGAAAATATGCTTTGTGGATGACCAATATTATGACATTTATATTTTCTCCTTTTCAATGAGTTTGCTCTCTTGCTCACTTAAACTTAATTTCTCAAGACTACCTGTGTAGAGGAGAAATATGTATCATTATTATCAAATTTTGGCTATGCTATGAGATCTAATTAATTAGACTGTCTCTATTTGATCGTTGGCACGACTAAAATATTAAATGAAGGACATAAGTCTCATGAGTCAAATGATATAATGAATGTATCCCTTTATTTTGTTTCAATTCATTGTTCTCTATATGAAATAGATTGCAACTATAACAATATTCAATAAAATAATTCTCGATAGACTTTTACCCGATACATTATAATTAGTGAAGCTTCATATTTCATTAGTGGGTATTCATAAGGGAGTTGAAATGTTTCTGTTTTTTTTCCTCTTCATTTATGTCAGAGGTTAAAGAGGTTATTTACACAGTTTCCATAAAAGCAATGATCAAGGCCAAACTTTTTTGTTGAATAGAAAGTACTTTTGCCCTTTAAAGAGATGATTAATTTATATAGATTTTCATCCTATTATATATTGTAATTCCAGCTGTACATGAGAAGATATTTATAGTATTTATGGTATTATCTTTATGTTATATGTTGTTAAATACCATATTATACTATTGGACTCGTACTGGCAAGCTGTCTGAAGATGTAAGTATATCAATCAATATGCTGAATGTGCAGGATAAGATTCATGTTCAGATTTTAATAAGTAATTGTCCATCACAGTAATTCAGTTTGGTTAGTCATTGATATGTCCATAAAGTGGTAATGGTCTTCACATGCAATCCAGGTGGTAAAAATGAATAACCATATTAATTTGATAATTGATTGCCAATTGCTATCTGGCTGTGACAGTCAAGCAAAAATGGCAATGGGATCACCTTTTAAAAGAGTTAATTTACATAACAAATATTCTGTTCCTTATACAAAGCATGTAGATATGAGGGTTTCCAGATAGTTAAAAACAAGTTAGATATAGAGCTCCATTGTACTGTTTCTTCATGTCTAGCATTGCTGCAATGTACTAACACAAAAATTTTCTACACCTGTACAACATCTCAATTATTAATCATTGAATCGGCTAAATGAAATTACTACTATATGATTTATTTTCTAGGAGAAAAAGTCTTTAAAATGGAAAGTTGCTATGTTTATTGCCAATTTTACTGCTACTATGGGTTTACTAGCATTTTTTATACAACATCGGTTTTATTGTAAACCCTTAGGTGAGTGAAGTTTTAGTTGTCAACATATCACGGCACTAGCAGTATATATTGACCATTCTGAAACTCTAGTCAACACACTGAACATATCATTTAATCTAATAACATGCTATCTATATGCAAACTCAATTAATGGGTTATGAGTATTTGGAGTTCATGTCACAGCTTTCATTAAGTGTTACTATTTATAGACACAGGTTATTTTCCTTATAGTATGACAATAATACCAAATCCTAATCAGATAATATTCGTAATACAGGGAAACAAATATGTGTAAACTTTGTATGACTATTCTAAGGGCCTATTGTATGGTAAACTTTCTGTGTAGTGTATTGCACAACTAAGAATACAACTTACAAAGAAAGGTTAAAGGGACAAGTTCGCCATTTTTAAGATTTGATTAGGGTCTTGAATATATGTAAATAGTCTTCAGAAGTACTAGAAATGTAATTTCTATATATATCTTATCTATATATATCTATTATGGCAAAGCCGTTGATAACTGAAATAGGAGCAGGGATAGTTTGATTAAGACGATGTGAAAAAGACATACACAATAAACAATCAAATTGATAAATGCTTTCTTTACAACATTATTAAGTACTTGTTTATTTTCTTATTTCAGCTTTTAGTTGGTTTTCAGTCTGTGAATATATAATAGGCTATACAAATATGGCATATCATTTGTCTGCTTATTACGAGTTTCAAAACATGTCACTAGCTTTTGGACGCTTAGAACCGCCACATACAAATGGTTCTGTTGCTTCAAATAATAATAGTATTACAAACAATAATAAGAAGAAAGATCAGTAAGAGCTATTAAAAGAGTTGTTAAACTGATAAAAGAGTCGTGAAACTAATGATATTAGAAGAGGAATGACATATTATGGAAGATTGAACCTGCCACATAGAGAAAATGATTATTTTGAAAATTGAGGTTGTCAGATATATTTATGGAGATTTTAAATGTATTACATGCCACTGTGACTTACAAGATATTTTATGATGCTTTTTTTACAGTGTTACAGTTTGTTTAATCATTTTATCATTATCTAGCCACAAATCAAGTGCAATGTTAAACTGTTGATATAGTGTATTTGTATTTTATTACTGTATTTATTTCATAATCTACTTAGGACTGAATTTCTAATTTTATAAGAAATTGATACATTCAATTCTTAAGATTTCCATCCATCTTTCATTAAATTCGATTTCTTTGTTAACCCAAATTGAAAATCTTAACAGTGTGATTTGTGAAGATCAGAAGATAGATTTAGCATTTATTATTAGAATTTCTTCAAAATTAATGGAGTGACACGACTTTTACAGAAGTTTACTTCCAACAGTACAATTTGTCAAAATTAATTGATATTCTTCCTCGTTTGAATTGCTACTTATGTATTGCCAAACTGCTATTTTGGATTTTGAGTTTCATTTTGCGGTTCGGATTGGTTGCTCATTCAAGGATATTTTCCAACAATAACACAGAGCTTTGGGATAGTTTAATCAATAATTTACACAATAATATCTTACACTGTTTTTATATAATTATGTCAGTCATATACATGTATAACGAAAAACCAATACTTGATATTAAGGAATGTTATATTTTGTAACAAATTAGATTTATACAGTCAAAAAGGTTTTAAGTTCTTAGGATATTTATTGGTGACAAGGCTTAATTCTTGTGTAAGAAGTTACTTTGTATTACGTTACTCTGTGAAATTATGATGAAGTTTGCCACTTGCCCATTTATAAATGTATTCTTAATTCCATATTGCCTTTTAGAATCAATTATATATATATATACAGAGAGGAATTTGAAATGAAAAATTAACATAAACATATTTATTCTGATATTTATGTCTAAGTTGAGGTTAAGTTTAAATTACTGTGAAAAGATATGTATTAATGATAGAAAAGAAGAGTTAAATTATGACATTGATTAAAGATTATGAAAATTTGACATCAATTTTACTTAATTGTAATGTCCAAGTTGGTGTAAGTGATGAAGAATTAAGAGCAATTGCTGGCTGTGGTTATCCACCATATAAGTGTAGATTGGATGGCTCTCTTGTTCTTACCTTAACTCCACCTTAAAGAAACTCCTACCACAACTTTCTTCCAGCAGCTTTTGATATCAATTTATAAGAGCAAGAGCTTGTACAAGTATTGGTTGTACATCATACATGTTGGAATCTAGTTAAGATTTTGTTTATTTAGATTTAAAAGAATATGCTCATTTAAATAATTCTATACAATCAGATCTGAATTCAATTGGTGCATTCTAATTTTTAAAGTTTTTTTGACGTGTTCATTGAAATGATATTTATATTTTAAGATGGTTATGTTTCTTTTAGATTTGAACAAAATATAAAACCTGTGATGCACATAATTAAGAAATAGCCTGGAATAAGAACAAATGAGGTACAAAGTTTCAGAAACTAAATCAGCTAATTATGAGGTTTAATAATGCATTTATTTCGATAAGCTTTTCCAAAGATGAAATTTTTTTTCTACAGTAAAGAAAGCCCTCTGTGAAAGTCATAAGAAACCCATTTCTTTTTTTCTGCAAGGATAGTTAACAGATAACTAACTAATCAACATAGACTGTTTCATCATGAAACTTTAAAAAGAAAATAGTGATTTTACAATTTACACTCCAGGTATGTTTCATAACATAAACACAAGCAGTTATCGAAGGGTCCTTTAAGTGGTAATTACTTAGAGATTTTGCTTGTATAGCTTATAGAACTGTGCAGCAAAGTAGACTATTATTGTTTATATTTTGAAGCCTTCATCTCTCTTGTTTTTTTTTGTCTGAATGTAAAAGAACAAGGGTTAGATTGTTAACTTGATTCAGTATTTTAATTTGTCATGATGATTACAAGACCAATTGTGTCTTGACATATCTCTCCTCATCTCATATATTTCAGCATAATTTATCACTCATTGTATCAGGACATTGTTTTTATACTCTTTATGATTTCTTACCAATTCATCTCACATGTACTCCTGATTTCATTATAGAATATATATCTGGTACATGCTGAAGAATCAATTCAAGCAAGATCACATTTATTTTGCCAGATTTTCATGTTCAACTTGTACCAGATTTTTATACTAAATGACCCTTAAATCAAAAAGATGTTTAAACATCATATCATTACTGCTTATTGCAGGGATGCTGTTTTGTTGTTGCTTTCCTGTATTTTTTATTATTATTCACTATCTGAATTGCTGTTGCAAACACAGACATATTCATTTAGACAGGGGAACTGATATGTAGTAAGAATGGTATTTTTTCCCTACTTTGTGTTTAAGTGCATGTAGACGACTATTAAAGTGTTTGAATTTGCATAGATGTTTTCAAATTTGCATAGATGTTTTCGCAGGCTATGAAATACATTAATGTAAACAAAACAGCATCCCTTATATTTACAACTTGCCGGCCCTGTCGGCAGGTCTTATTGTTATCTATATATTATATGTAATTGTATATAAGTTCAAACTATCATTATATGAATATTAATTATAATATAATTTTAGAAAATTGATGTCTCCTTCTATTCATGTTGATTGACTTCATGACCATTGTCATTGGTCTGTATATTTAATATGTAAGGTCTATAGTCACAATAGTTATACTAATTCTGAATCTCATTTGATGGTGGGGAGCAATAACGATGTTGCTATGAACAATGCCGTTGTGTTTAACTTGGCAAATCAAATCTGGGTCATTATTTTATATTTCAAATGTTTGCAAGCTTATACCACATCCCTAGAGAGCAAATATTCTAGTCACTACATTTGGGGGTTCCACGAGTTCTGCATGCTTGGGATTTACAGAATCAACTGAAGGTTTAACAAAATAATTTGGAATATGTCTGCCGAAAGAATAGTTGGTGTAGACAGAAGTCAGAATGGTGGGGAGGTGAGTAGATGGGAAAAATTGTAATGTGACATATTTCAATTCAGTACCATTCAATTTAGGGTAGAATAGGAATAGATAGAAACCTGTTAAGAACTGTCACGCCTCTTTAGTTGAAAGTTTAATCATCCTTATTTTTACGGTGATCTTAACATAGTTTCTACATGGGCCACTGGTTCAGATGCATATCTGTGTGTTGAACAAGGGAATAAATCTGATTATAAATGTAGGGCACCACAAAAGTAGAACATATCCAATAATCAGACTTCAAAGTATGATCAATTACACCATTGCCTTGCTCTCTGCTTCAAATCAGGATGATATTACCCTGAGATAAAGGGTTTATCAAAAGTAAGAAATCCATATATCTGGTTGGTCCATAATGAAAATTTGGATTAAAAAAATAACAATGGGGACATTTGACTTTCACATATTTCAATAAATCATGTTTATACAATTGCAGAAATATATAATTAACATAAAAAGCCATAAGAAAAAAAATTGTATTCTTGCTTTAGGCACAGAATGACTTTTTCCTTTTCAAGCATACAGTAGGAGAAGCACAAATGGCTACAAATATCTAATCAGAAGTCATTATAAATCTAACATGGCAAATATTTCTAAATTTCCTGCTTATCAAACTTTCAGCCTAAAGCAGATCCAATTTAAAATAGTTAACAGACTGCACATATTAGTTGCTGAGAATATAAGAAATAGTTTCAAGAATATAGTTTTGTTACTGACGAAACTTGTACAATATTGCGATATTTTATACCATATTTCCAATATTGATTACTTATTTATTCTTTGAATCTGAAGCCATCTCCATCAATAGGTATATAATCATGTCTGGCTTATTCATTCTTTCAATTCATAACATCTAGACATACTTTCCACATCATTAACCACACATCAATATCATTTATTTTCTGAAACTGTTAATATATCACCCATACAACTATTACCATCACTATGATTTGATAATGGCTTAAGCATTAAATCTAAAATCACTTTACTTTGTCTATTTCATGTATGGCTCTCTCTCTCTCACTTGGTCACAAACCTTCCATACAAAAATCATAAGCTCACTATATACACAATTTTCATAAATAATATACATAATATAACAACAATGTAACAATATACAGATATTATTTAATCTATATACAAAAATCACAGCACTATTTATTGTGAGAATTCTCAACAATATTTCGCTCTCTTTCTCACTAAATATTCCCATTTGTGGCCTTCACTATAGAAGGAGATAGTAATAAATATAGTCAGTCAATATTATCTATGCACATTCAAATCTTTATTCTAAGGTAGAATAATTGATATCAAATCAGCTGAAATATCTCTGTCCTGTAGTACAGGACTAGGGCTAATGTGCAGTAACATTTTATAAACTTCAGTTTTTTAATTCTGATCCTGTATGTCTGAAATTGACATTGGGTTTCAATTAGCCATAAATCAACATTTCACTCCAATGCAATTTTGAAGTGGTGATACTTCAAATAATTGCTATATAAATGAATCAGAAAAAGTCTGTCTAAATACAAACATGGAATGAAGCAAAAATTTACCTAAAAATACAGTGAATAGTCCAAGGTTGTTTTGGGAAACCATCTAAATAATTATATGCATACATAATTGACTGACATAGAGAGAGGCAAGATGTTATCACGATTTTCTCTATACTTAACTGATGAAACCTAACTATAACTTCAAGAAGAATTTTATCCACAAATGTAATATTCATAAAACTTTAAAAAGTCTAATTACATGTACAAATATCTCTTCAATCAAAATCACTTAATTTGTCTGACACTATTTGTAGTACTACATTTCCACATCCTCTTTATTGTTAACATACTACAGAATGTCATAAATTCTTCTTCACAAATATCAACAATCTAAAAAATTCACATATATATTTTTATCACTCATAATCCATAAACTTTTAATCGTGTTCATATAGATCCGCAATTTGAGTTTAAATCTTGGAAATTTTCCATTCATTTTTAACTTGAAGCACTCATTACAAAGACGTGATGCTAGATAGTTTACCATTGAATAAGGCAATAACCACAAAAATAATACATGGTTTTCAATCTACATATTGCATTACAATGTATCACTATTTCACAGGAACAATTAAAGCTCCACAATACAGTTTAATAGTGACAACAATTAGTACTGCAATTTGATTTGTTGACAACTGTCTGTCAAATTACAACAAGCACAAAGCTGATTTTTTTTTAGTGAACATACAAGTTGATTATGTAAAAACATCGTAATAACCTTATTATAACATTTAATGAAATTCTGATAAATAGAAGAAACAACATATTTCTGTTATCATTACAAAAATCTTTCTCTGGAACTTAAAGGGGCATTCACATTTCAAAGATAAGTTCCCTTATTTCTGACCTGTTAAACGGATCAGATGCTGATGCTTTAGCCTGAAATATTGAGTAGATTCTAATTATGGACATTTTGACTAAAGTTTGTTGGTGCATCAGCAAAGAATGTAACCATTCTATAATGTCATATTAGGTTGTACTATTTGTTTCTTAGAAATATACATGTATACTACTAACCCTCTGGTTCCCAACCTGGGGTGATTTCACCCCCTGGGGGTGTGGGACTAGGGTCTCAGGGATGTGGCCAACTGGTGTAGGAGAAGAATTTATTTTTGAGTTGAGAGAGCACCTCACATCATCACATGCTGCAAATGTGGATGAAACAAATTTTGGGGGTGTGAGGTCCACGTGATTGCCCCAGGGGTGTGAAGGCTGAAAAAGGTTGGGAACTGTTACAAAAAGCTCCAAGCTCTGCATGTCAAGTTTTTACTGAATGAACTTTGGAGCTCCACACTCTAAAAGCTGAAGAGAATCATATGAACCATATATGACATCATTTGGCAACCGTCACTTGATAATCTTTATTAAAAGTTTTGTGGCTAATAAGACATCCTGTCAAGTTCAAAGAGTTCATGAATCACACATCTACATCAGTACCTTCAATTTTCACTCTTTGCTTAACATATTATAAGAAAAGATATCATTAAAGAAACATTAATATTGGTCCAATAAATTTGAATAATATCACAGAACAACAGTCATTAGAATATCAATGCAATGTTATTTGAAATTATTCTAGATTGTTTGTTTAGCTGGACTGGTACAATATGCAACATGTAATTATTCAAATCACTAACAAGACCAGTCCATTTTTTTCAAGGTAGGATGAGTGAAAAAAATATCAAAGAGAAAAACAGCATCAATGTGGAAGAGAACATCCATTAAAGACAACAGGAAAATACAAGCTCAAAGTCACTTTGATAGTTGCAACATTTTGTTGATCTTAAAAAATGACAAACCCAGCTGTCTGTTGAAAGAGTAAAAACTTTCTTTCAATACACTATACCCACTGATATCTCACATTGACTGCAGTATGAATTTGTTGATCAAATTCCAGTAAAGGGTAAAATAATGCCTGGAAGGATAGCCAACATCTTGCTGACTCACTATGTTGCCAATTCCAATAATAACACATTCAAAGCACAACTAGTTTGCAGATGATACTGAACAATTTTCATCATATTTTCATCATATTTGTAAATTGTAAGATCATTTTTCTCTACATCCAATGTAATAAAAGTCAAATTAGCATTGGAAAATTATATATCGCACAGTTAGTTTAACAAAATATAATTGCACTTGAAGCTTCCAGAAACAGCAACAAATGAATTTACTTTGTATTATATTTTGGTGTAATTGTCGAATTATTGTAGAATTGTAGGACAACTGTAGATCAGATTTCAATTCAGATTTAGATGCACAAATAGACAAATATAAGCTTAAATCTAATCCAAAAATCACCCTTCATGGGTCCATGTCTTGGTGGAATGATTCCACAAAGTCATCAAAGTCTTTCATATTAGTTTCGAACATAGCTAACTGTGTTGTAACTTGGTCCAGTGTGTCATTTAAAGTTGTCTCCTCTTCAAACATAGACATTGTCAGTGCTCCCTGACAGTCTCGAAAAAATTTACCCAAATCATTATTAGAGTCCACTCCAGCAAATGGTGTTTTCTGAAGATAAAACAAAATAATAACTGTATTGATTTCTTGAATGAAATAATATCTATGATTAAAAAAACAATTGCGATGTTATACTGTAAATGTTAAACAAGACTAAACAATTATAAACAAATGATATACAGGAATCCTGTCAATTCAATAAATAATTCCAGTTCAATAAAACAAGTTGGAACAGAATTCAGAAGCCGTTCCATGAGTGCCGAAAATATTGTAGGTGCAGACAGAGTTCAAAATGGCAGAGAAGGAATTAGATAGGAACATTTTGAATGTGGCATATCCGCTGTCATACTGTTTGATTGGGGGAAGAATTGGAACAGGCAGAATCTACTCAGAATTCTTTAAACGAGCGCCACCACAGATACCCTCTTGACATATCCGCTGTCATTCCTTGATTTGTCAAAAAATAATTTTAACCTCACCAATTCAACCATAACAAAATCATCATTAACAGACACGTGACTACCAGTAGATTTCATGATTTCACTTTCAGTAGTGGTTCCAGTTGAACTGTTAGCTGTCTCCATATTTTCTCCACTACTTGTACTACAATTATCTTTTCCTGATACTACTCTAGACTCAATCTTACCAGTGTCATTTAATAAACTCAGAAAAGGAATTTCTTCCAGTCCTTTCAATGGTAAGTCTTTCATACTTTGTGGCTGCACAAATGCACCAACTCTATGCAGTGTTGTAAAACTGTTGGAATTCTCTGGAGCACTGAAAAGTTTAAAACAAAGGTCTTGTATATTTGATATACTTCCCTTTCCTACTCCTTAGATTCTTGAAATGCATGTGAGATGAGGACTTCCTTTCTGTATCTGAACAACTAGATAAAACCATCCAATAAAATATCTCCTAAGATCCCCAACAGATCTCCAGGTCTGTAAGTAAATTATGTCAATCTAACATAGACCTACACAGCTCCTGCTCTTTCTGAAAATCAATTTCAATATAAACACTTTTATACCTTTGTGGTCTTTGGTCAACAGGAGGTAATGTTTGTTTGTGATTGATGCTGATTGGTGGTGTAGTTTTACAACTGCTTGTCTTAGTTTCTGTGATGAAAGCATAGTCTGGTGGAGACGTTGAAAATAATGTTGAACAGTAGTCTTGATGATCCAGCTCATCTATCTTTATATCTTCAGTCACACTAGTCCTGAAAAATAGTCAATTACTTATTTGTCTGGCAACATACTTACAAAAGTGCAAACTACTCTGTAAACACTTGCCTTCATTAAAACTCTAAAATTAGCTCTGTCGATTTCTTTATAACAATGTTTCAATACAATATTTAGTATTGAGCAAGATTATGAGTACATGTGTCATGCAATTCATTCAAAAGTGGTTATAATTTGCATCAAAGCTGAAAATATATTTATTCTTCCACACATGTATGATGCAATCCAGAATTTTACATAGGCTCCTATGTCTTCATGGCCCTGCTTCTTGTATGAGAATTAGATTTCTATGACAATACTCACCTTCTAAATCCTAGACTACATGGTTTAGGTTCTGTTTGTCTCCTAGGACAATTTGGGCTATTTTCAACTTTAAAATGATCATCCTTCAATTCAAATGGTAACTGTCTCGTTGCTTTATGAGGAGAGATTAATAATTTAGTTCGGTAAGCAAGATTTATAGTTATTTTCCCCATTGGTGTAGGTACAGCACCTACAACACATTTCTTGTAATCTTCTGCTAACTGAAAGAACTGAGGTTCTCCCAAATAAAATCTATAACATATAACATAGTCCCCACCACTGGCTCCCTGCTGCCGTGCAAGACGATAAGCTGGTGGAATGCGAGATACACTAAATAATGATTTTAATGCAATGCCCATTCGGTTGTAAACTCCATAAGAAACTTTAACAGAGTTGTCTACAATGGATCCATCTAATGCCATAAACCAGGTTTCTAAAACCATAGTTTCACCCTCAGAGGTTTGTAAAGATATTTCAGCACAAACATTTTGTCCTAACATTGATTGTTGACTGTTCAAAATTTTCTTAGCTTCCGTCTGTACATCAGGTGTATCTTTCACAGCTAGGTTAAACTGAAATTGAAGTTAAGACAATTGAGATAAAACTTCCACAAGTGATATATTTGAGTTAAGATCTGCAGTGTGTTGCTTTAAGACTTTAAGATATTTAAAATTGTCACTTGTCAACATGACATTTTCAAATTAAGCAAGTAAAATCTTAGGGTAGAACTGTACCCTTCATTTCAGTAATGGGTAATCTAAAACAATACTGATAAGCTTAAGCTTATAATCTATCTTTTTAGCATTTGATTCAGATAAGTTACGCTTATCAATTAATATTCTTAGTACCCTACTAGTCTTGAACTTTTGTAGAAACTATTACAAAGATAAACAATAAAAATTAGTTTAAACTACTGCTTCTGGTAAAATAAGCTGAAATAATAATTAGTCTTAGCATCAGAACTTTAAAAGAGGAGCATACATCACTGCCTACTTAGCATGCAAGCAAGCAAACTCCAATAACACTCACTATCCACAGAGTACTGAAGTATTTCAATGCACTTTCATAAGTATTAATATAGGCCTACAGATATCAATTATCTACATCATGCTACCGATCAATAATAAATATTTCAATTGAGAAACCCTGTAAATACTCAATTTTCAAAAATTCAAAACATGCGAAATTCTTAATGCCATCCGTTATTATTAGTGTCATAGAACTAGTTTGCTTTGATTGCTTATTAGTGTATGGCTAATTGTGGGTAAGTTATGTGAAGAAGGGAAACTATGTGGAAGAGATTACTACTAGCTAACAGTGACAGTGGAGAAATATAACTTTGACATAAAATCATACATGTGTAATCTATAGATGTTGTTGGGTTTGTACCGCTTTTGAACGTTGTCCACCGCTCTACTGACGGGATGCCCAATTCTACTTATTTTTTGTCCTAACCAAATTTTCACGGGACAGACCATAAATCAACAAAATATCTATCATCACTTCACTTGTACCTTGATTGCCGGTAACACGCATTAATCTCATCACATAATTATTTCATCATTGCCTGATTAATTAATCCCCCAATTAAGATAGTATCTAGATCTATTGATCTATTTTCACCCAATAATGTGTATTTTAAGCCCACGTGACACACTTTTTAAAACAACATCTGGCAGATTCTACTTTCAATTATGAAATTTGATAATCGATAATTGAAATTATAAATTCATAGCAATGATAATCAATTATTTTAGCCAGCCCTACCTACAGCTTTGATCATGGACCAATGTCAATGCATCATTCATTAATGCAAATTTGCAATGACAGTCTGCAGGAGTCATGACATATTCTTATATACCTACCCAATCTGCTCCCGACGAGACAGGCTTTGATTTCGTACGAATTTTCTCTCCCAATCTTGATTGCACGATTATCTGCAAGCTTTTCAAGATGAAAAAGTTAGTAAATTTCTCTAAATCTTTTCTGTCTTGAGGTGAAATGCGTCCAAAATTTGACGCCATTTTGTTTGTTTACGTTGCAGAATCAACTTCTTCGTCTTATTTGTTTCTTAACCCATTTGTTTTCTCCATTGACAGTTTTAGTTTAGGGCAATGATGATGTAAACGTCTGTATATTTGAAGAATCCTCTCCATTGAAAGAAAAATAATTGGTTTATTCCAGAAATAAAATGTTAATTCACATAAAAATATGTCAACAAAATTTCCAAAATAATACTTCCGGTTCACCACGACATATCGGTCTAAAGTCAAATCGGCACAACAAAAGAACAAAAATCGTAACAAATCGACAAAAAGTACAATTTGGTAGTCACGTGACAAGAATTATCAAATCACATGATCAAAATATGGCTGATTAATTTGTGAATTTTTAAAATAAATGTAATAAATGACAAAATAAGGCGTTAAAACCATTGTATAAGACAGAATGGCATTCCTTCAGGTAATACCACATTACCGTCAAAGCATAAAACACGTTAATAGTGGAAGAGAACTTCAGTTCTTGGTTGTTCAATATCCTGTTAGTGTTGAGCAACAATATAATAGGCTATGACATTTGATATATAAGTGGGGTGAGGCAAAATGGCTAAACTAAGTGGTTTTATCCTAAGTAAATCTGATATCAAATTGAAATCAATATTGTCAATCAATGCATTTATACTAGCACCTAATCGAACCACAGGCTATCTTGTCTGGTGCAAAAATATTCCTTCCATAAGCTTTTAGAACATAGATAAGGTATGAGACTTGAGAAACCCGATATAAAGGGAGTAAGGGGTTACTGATGTGATGTTACAAAAAAGCTATAATTTCAACAGAAATTCGTCACAAATAGTATTAAGTACAACTTGCACACTCAGATCAAGTTTTAAACAATCCTTAACAGTCTACACTTTTATTGAAACTCGGACCACTTGTTTATAAGATTCAAGCAATTATTAGGCATTGTCCTTTGCGCAGGTCTCAAAAAAAGTAGTTTGAGTGTGTTATGAAAAGTGATCCGAGTTTGCTTTGGTCCGAGTTGGAGTCACTTCTGGAGTATCACCCCTATTTCTGGTTTCTCGAGTGTCATACATTGTCTATATTATATATGGAAGGACTTTTTTTTCGCAGCGGATGAGAAAACCTGTGATCAAATCGAAAGGATGTTGAAAGAACACGTGCGACATTTCCAGAAATAATGAACATTATCTTATGGAGTTGATGATTTAAAGTTTTTTACTTTGAATCACATGTCACATGTATACAATTAGACTCAATCATGCTGTCCCAATTCGTCTACGCTGCAACAGAAGATGTCTTTGTGTCTGAGACTATATTTGTGGGAATTGTACAGTTCTAGTACTTTTGAAGACAATTTACATTATCCAAGATCCAAAAATGCTGCTTGTGTCCCCTCAATCGAGCAAATCGTTTCTGATGCGTTGTTACTTTGATACCTTTAGTATGGCTTCTAAAATGTTTACTCCGTTTCTATGACAAACTGTCATTACGACAAATTTCAGTCGTACACCAAAAAAAAGGCAATATGGGAATGAAATATTAATATTTATTTATTCTTTTCGGGGTAAGGATGGGGTAGCTGATTAGTTACAATCTTGAAATATATTCAGTTTTATTTACCCTGCAAACAAAATCTGATTCGCCTTGTGACGTCATATTGATTATGGTAATCAAATCAGATTTAAAAATTCCATAAATCATTATTCTTGATTATCCTCACTTCCTGATAATGAATTGCTCTAAATCACCAAAATAAGTTGTTTTGAAATGAACTATCAGGGATATGAAATAGGCTACCCTTTGCAGAAATCTGGTGGAAGATTTTGTTTTAATAACAGTTTGATGATCGCATCTTATGTTTGAACAGACAACATGGACAGATAATAATCAAGGAGTCGCAAAATGTAAATTTTTATTGTATTGATATATTTCAGTGGAGAAGGTTTAACTTTTTTGAAAAAGAAGTTGTAAAAAACCCAGAAACTGATAAAGTATTTGATGAACTAAAGGTTATCTTACAATTTTCTATTTATGTACAATATAAACTGTTGAACCCACATGTTATGAGTGATGTCAATGATATTGAATGACGCCCAACATAGTCATAACAGATATCGGAATATAGATAACAATTTATATGTCAAAATCTGAAGTCTGTAGAATGGTTGCAATTTATTCTACATACTGAATTCTAACCAATTTTCTTGACCATGACATAATTGAGCCTCTAAGAAAAAACCTCATTTCATTGAACTTTATGTTATGATATTAGAGAACTAATTGTCTTTTATTAGTTCTCAATTTAACAAATATTTGGACTATATAGTTGGCCAAAATTTATAAGATAGGTCCAATGAAATTTTACATAAACAACCATTATATTGTAGGATGTCAACATATCTGTTTGTACGAGTGGACGAGGCCAGTTGGTGATAGGAGATTATGAAGGAAATCTATATTTTATCAATAGACAGTTACATCTTACACAGTTTAAAGCTTATGAAATCAGAGTTTCACATTTATATCAGTTGAAACAAAACAACATTCTAGTATCTGTAGGGGTAAGCATATTGTCTTGTTTGATATAAGAAGGGCCCTGAATATATCAAGAAGGGTCAGGAATATATTAAGAAAGAGTAATGAGATTTATTAAGAAGAGTCAGGACTATGTTAAGAAAGAGTCATGAGATTTATTAAGAAGAGTCAGGACTATGTTAAGAAAGAGTCAGGAATTTATTAAGAAGAGTCAGAAATCTATTAAGAACGAGTCATGAATTTATTAAGAAAAGTCAGGAATATATTAAGAAAGAGTCCTGAATTTATTAAGAAGAGTCAGGAATATATTAAGAACGAGTTCTGAATATTTCAAGAAGGGTCAGGAATATATTAAGAAAGAATCCTGAATTTATTAATAAGAGTCAGAAATATATTAAGAAAGAGTCATTAATTTATTAGGAAAAGTCAGGAATATATTAAGAAAGAGTCATTAATTTATTAAGAAGAGTCAAGAATATATTAAGAACGAATCCTGAATATATCAAGAAGGGTCAGGAATATATTAAGAAAGAATCATGAATTTATTAAGAAGGGTCAGGAATATATTAAGAAAGAGTCATGAATTTATTAAGAAGAGTCAGAAATATATTAAGAAAAAGTCATTAATTTATTAAGAAGATTCAGGAATATATTAAGAAAGAGTCAGGAATTTATTAAGAAGAGTCAGGATTAATATTAAGAAAGAGTCAGGAATTTATTAAGAAGAGTCAGGAATAATATTAAGAAAGAGTCATGAATTTATTAAGAAGGGTCAGGAATATATTAAGAAGAGTCAGAAATATATTAAGAAAGAGTCATTAATTTATTAAGAAGAGTCAGAAATATATTAAGAAAGAGTCATTAATTTATTAAGAAGAGTCAGAAATATATTAAGAAAGAGTCATGAATTTATTAAAAAGGGTCATGAAAATGTTAAGACTAGAAAGATTTTCAGTCCAAAATTGTTTTGAAATATTGCATTAGTATTTGTTACATAAATTTGTCAGAAGATGTGACAAAAACTAGATAGAAAATGAAATATTATTTTGTAAGTGCACTGTTTTATATTTAAGTCAATTCTGTGTCAGACTGGGATACTGTGAAAGGACATTGTCCATTTAAAATTTCTATCTGTGACTATCACTTAAATGAAATAAAATGACTCGTTTATAATATTTTATTTTTAAAGGAAGATGAGCAAGGTGTTAATCCATTGATTAAAGTTTGGAATCTTGATAAAACTGAGAGGGGTAGTCCATTATGTACTAGAATTTCGCGAGCTATTCCAGGAAATAAACCTACACAGGTCAGTTATTTACAATTAAAATAGACAATCATTTTCATACCTCAGTCAATAAATGGTTGAGAAATTAAAATAGAGAATCTTAATTGGACAAGTATAGCAGAAAGGAAGCATGGGAAAATTTCCAACTTTAAAGAAAGGTGCTTCAACATGCTCCATATATATTTCTTTTTCTGTTTTTAAGGTGTCATGTTTAACAGTACATGATAATCTAAACTATATGGCTGTAGGTTTTGATAATGGAAGTGTTGTTTTATTTAAAGGTGATGTTACTAGAGAAAGGTGAGTAACAATTTGAAATTAAACTTTATAACTTTATGTATGATTTTAAGTTTATAAAGATTATTCCATGTGAATGTAAATTTGATTGGGACAGAAAACAGAGGTTTTTTGTGCCACAGGATAAGTTTACGTTCTACCACCATTTGAAAATCAAATAAAAATTTAGCGAATACCCTCCATTTGCATGCCACGTTTCTAATTCATTCACATTGCACTCACGAGTATGAAAATGTATTGCTTATAAATTATATGAAAATTATTTGGACCTGGCCTCTATTTATTGAAACTTCGTCAGCATTATGTTATTTTACATGGGAAGTATCTAACTTGCTATAAATATTTGTATATAAGACTTTTAGAAATGCGACAATACGCCATTAATTGATCATTATAAGATAGACTAAGATAACCCTGCAAAAATTGACACACATTTGTGACTCATTTTAATTTAATTTTATTTTCAGGAACAGTAAATCAAGAGTTGTTTATGAGAACCCTAGTAAAATTACTGGTTTGATATTTCGATCTGTTGGCAAAGATATATTTCTATTTATAGTAACAGAGAATGAGACAGTGTCTGTAAATTTAAATCTTAAGGATCAAAAGGTGAGGCCAACTCCATTATTTTATTTGTCATCTTCTATTCTTAGAGGTTTTTTTTTTTCTGAGTTTAAGAACTCTTAAGAATGTGGAAATGACACTTGCACCATTCAAGAGCGGGATTATGATAATGGTTTATTACATGAGAATTGATAAGGAATCACAAATTTATATCTTATCAACTGCTATGAATTTATCACAGAAAGGTTTTGAAAGGAAATGTTTATGATATTTTGTTAATTTGTTACAGTCTGTATTAGAGAAAATGGGAGCGAAAGTCGCTTGTACTGTGCTGAGTGATACCAATCAAGATAACCAGGTTGTTATTGGTAGAAGTGATGTAAGTTGACAGTTTTAGTTTGTCATCTTTCTAATTTACCCTATTTACCACTTCACCACTTTAAAATTATTACTTCCAAATCAAATGCTTATATTTACATTAACAGTAACAGTGTTGTTCTTGTACAATTTCTGATAGTAGTTATATTTATAATGCACTGAAAATGCTTGCCTTTATTTGTTGGACAGATGAATTTAGGTTCGAATTGTTTTTGCACAGGCACTAAAAATTTCATACGCAATTCATATTTTCATGAAAGCCTTTTTTGGAGATTATTTGCAAATTTGATGGCATTCTGGTTTTAATTCTAAAATTTCAGGCTGTTTATTTTTATCAACCAGATGGCCGTGGACCATGTTTAGCGTTTGAAGGAGAGAAACTACAGTTACATTGGTTCCGAGGATATTTAGTTATTGTTGGTAAAGAAACTAAATTACAGTCTAGAGCTCCTATCTTGTAAGTCTGTATATTCTATTGAAGTTCAGATTGTTATTAACATTCTCGCCATAATGCCAGCAACAACTGCATGTGAAAATAATAACAATGGCCTTCAGTGATTGCCATTGTACATATTTGTAGGATCTCAGTAATTGAGCTTTATCAGATGGTAAAGCAGCTGTTTAGATGACAAAATCACTTTTATGTTTTTCTGAAGTTAGAAATTTCCTTCTATATGTAAAGAGTTATTGCCCTTGTCTCAGTATTATATGTTATATATTTAAAGAGGAAATAATAAAGTCATGAATCTGCTAACAGTATATGATATACAGAATAAGTTTATTGCCTACTCAGCCCCCTATCAGGAAGTTATAGATGTTATGTGTGAATGGGGTTCTTTGTATATACTAGCTGGTGATAGAAAGGTTTGTAATTGGTATATTTTAGATTTACATTGTATTTCTCTTATTGAAAATGGTGGCTTTCCAAGAAAACTACATCAAGATATGATCAGCTGCTTTGAATGCCGTCAACAATCATGTAGTATCTGTTTGACCAAAAATTGCAATGTGTCTCTTATCATTTTCATTTTCATTTTCATTATCAGCTTATTATTTGATTTTGGATATTTCAGTTATATCAGCTACAAGAGAAAGATACACAAACTAAACTAGATATGTTATTTAAAAAGAACAATTATACTCTAGCTATCAGGTAACTTAGGAAATATTTGATTTTAAGCTCAAGTGAAATAATGAGGATTTTATCTATGGAGTTTATTGCTGCAAAAGATGAGCTACTATCTCATAGATTCTTTCTTGATAGAATGATCTCGCAGTTTATTTGTATAAATTTGGTATTGAGCAATCCATAACAAAACACTGTCTATATCAATTTTTAAATTAGATTATAGGTATTTTAAAACAAACCAAGAAAATTGATACTTCCATTTTAGGCAATTTATAAATATAGAAATCTATGAATTCCATCTGTTCATTCAATTAAAAAACTATTTTATATTTCAGTCTAGCTAAAAGTCAGCAATATGATCATGATGGTTTAATTGATATATTTACCCAATATGGAGATCATCTATATAGTAAGGGTGATCATGATGGTGCTATAGATCAATATATTAGAACTATTGGAAAATTAGAGGCATCCTATGTTATCAGAAAAGTAAGATAGCTGTGTTTGATAAATTAATTCTGTGTTAGAGTGATATGAGAACAAAATTCCCATGTGATAATTCAATAGTTTCCTTCATTTGATCTACAAGTCATTTGGCTCTGTGGATAGTAAATTGGAATTTTGTTTATGTCTTGCTATAAGATAATTCATCAAATTTAACGTTTGGTTTTTGGAGAGGATTTGTCAAAGTTAATGATTGTATACTTTTGGTTTTCTTCTTAATCAAAAGATTGTTCTCTTTTTTGTTCTCTAGTTTTTGGATGCCCAAAGAATCCACAATTTAACAAAGTATCTACAAGCTTTACATAAAGCTCAGTTAGCTACAGAAGAACATACAACATTATTGTTAAACTGTTATACTAAACTTAAAGATGTTTCTAAATTGGATGAATTTATTATGGTAAGATTGTCGTTTGTGCACTAAGCCTACAGTTACCATAAAAACATTCAAGTTCCTGTTAATTTTTAATTTGTAAAAATACCAAATGTCATATTGAGAGTAGAGCTGATCTTCAATTCATCCAATGCATTGTTGGAACAGTTGATGTGTTATTTCCTAGGATTATCATATAACACATCATAATGATCAAAGAGGTATTTCAAACACCCCCTGTATTGTTTGATGAAACCTCATGGTTGGAACCAGAGGTTTAAACATTTTTTTGGACTTTTAAAGATATCAAAACAATCCAAAAAGTCAGATGTTTTTTTTTCATATTCTTACAGACAAAAGATAGAGAGATAGATTTTGATGTAGAAACAGCTATTAAAGTTTGTAGACAAGCTGGATACCATAAGCATGCTCTATCTCTAGCAGAGAAACATCGTAAACATGAATGGTATTTGAAAATACAGCTAGAAGATATCAAGGAATATCAGAAAGGCTTGGAATATATTGGGAAATTAGAATTTGAGGAGGTATGTTGAAAAAAGGTCATTCACTGATGTGCATTGCATCAAATGATTATATCTTTTTTTGCAACAGGGCTTTTCTTTTTCAATGCTAAAGATTGTAGGGACTGAATATCGAATGGCATTTAATGAGTCAAAATTTCAGACGGTATGTATATTGTTTCTAGATTGCAGAGACACGGATAATTAATTGTCTATGATGTGGCAAAATGTCTCTCATTGCACATATAGTCTTCTACTAACTTTAATGTTGTTTTATATTGTAGTGTGAAGATAATTTAAGGAAGTACGGTAAAATACTGATGACAGAGGTACCAGAACAAACTACTAGTTTATTGAAGATTCTCTGTACCGATTATAAACCAACTAATAGTATGTATATATTAGCTAATACATACCTTACAGAGTTTTTCTAACCTATTTGTGTATATTAGGCAACATGTAGCTTCTTTTAATACTAATAACCAATATTTGGGGTCCCATAGTTCCAGAAAGAAGCTCTAGAAAGAAGCTACATGGTACTTTTGCTTGTGCGGAATGGTTTAAAATGAAGCTAAAAGTGTCATAGACGATTGATACAAAGACCTTGAGTCTCTGTTGTCTGGAAGGTTTTTATACCAAACTAAGAATATATGTTTCGAAAGAAATTTATGATGAAAACCAACTTTGTGTTCAAATCTTTTCATGACCTGTTTTATTGTTTCAGAGCCTTTAGTTGATTCATACAGTATGGAAGGTAAGTTTTAATGATACCATAATATGTCTTTTATTTTTATTTTATCATTTGATCATTATTAGTTGCACACAATGAACTGAAACCATTATAATTTCATCTGATTTGAAGTTGGATTCATACAAAAGCTTTATGTCTAGCCAACTGCCACTGCTAGTGTTTATGACCTACTCTTAGACAGATAGAACTAACCTCTCCCTGGATTGTTTTCTTTGTTTCAGGTGGCCATTCATTAATATTGAAGGCTAAAGCTGAAGATTTTATCCATATTTTTGTTAATAATTCAATCAAATTAACAGAATTTTTGGAACATATGATAGCGGTTGGTAACATTATGTTAAATATTTTTCTGAATTGTTTTTTAATTGATTTATGAAAAAGATTAAAATAACCATACCAGGTGGATATTGTAGTTGATTAAAATGCTATGAATATCAATAGTCCATTTGAGAATTCTGTGGGACATATTTTGAGTCATATACATGTATATTAATTATAAGCTAATTTCTGTTAAATCTGAGAATCAGAGTCTATAAAACAGCATCTTTAATGTTGAAAATATTTGTACAGTTTTATAACATGGTATTCTAGGTTCAACCAAACTCATCAGAATTAGTTTACAATACACTGTTAGAGTTATATTTACATGATATGGTTCATAAAACAGAAAAAACTGTAAGTTTACGTTTATTATTATAGTGAGATATGCTGTTGTTCTATGCACTATTTTTGAAACAATCATAAAAATGATCAGTTATTGCCAATGACTAAAATTTATTGTTTTGGAGTGATTTATTGTATGCAATATTTTTGTATTTTAGAGTCGTCTTGCTAGAGAGAAGAAAACATTAGAACTGTTGAAAAATCCAGAGGTTTGTCTTTGTGTTTATTCAATAAACTTTATTGTCTCAGATATTTATAGAAGGAGCCGCGGTGGCTCAGTGAGTTAGACGCTTGCTCGCTAACCTGAAGGTCCAAGGTTCAATCCCGGCATAGGTCGAGATAATACCTTCGGATTTTTCAACCCGGTTTCCCCCTGTCAGTGATGCAGGTAAGAGGGGCTGACATGGAAAAAGCGTCTAGTCGTTCAGATGGGACAATAAACCAAGGCCTCGTGTGCTACAGGCTGTGCACGTTAAAGATCCCTCGACAGTTGGAAATCAAAAAAGAGCAGGCTAATGCCGCTGTCCTGGCAAAATTTCCCTCATGGCACCCTGCATGGCGTTGCCCGTCTTCATTAGCCCACAAGGTGCAGAAGAGTAGGACGTAAAACTCCATTCATTTCATTTCATTTTATTTCAGATATTTATAGAATGGAAACTAATATTTTATCTAATTCAACTTAATCAACTTTTCAATTTAAATTTGTTCAATTTAGTGAGAAAAATAATTATCTTGATTGGTTATACAGCAGTTCAAGTGTTCATCATTAAAACTGACAAGTTATACTGTTATTTCTGATTTTCAGGCTAGATACAATATAGATCAAGCCCTAATTTTATGTCAAATGAATAATTTTAAAGCTGGTATCTTGTATCTGTATGAAAAGGCTCATTTGTAAGTAGAATATTCTATATTTAGTTTCCAACTCCTTGTCACTAGTTAAAACATGGTAAAGATATAAAGATAACTAATTCTGTAGTAGAACATCATCCATATTTTACATTCTTCATAATTTGCTTGTATTCACTTGATTTAAGTGAAGTCTTATTATATACTGTGTACTTTCTGACAGTAACCTTTCAAATAGAAAGATTGTTCTGCAGAGCATGTTTGAAATTGAAATGGTAGTTTTTATTAGTTATTGCCCTGGATTAAAGACAATATTTTAATTGTTACTACAGATATCAACAGATTATAAGATATCATATGGAACAGTGTGAATATGGTTTAGTTATAAAAGGCTGTGAAAAGTTTGGGTAAGTATTATTTTACGCAAGAATGCATAGTTCTTATCAAGACTTGTCATTTTTAATTTTGTTATTTGAATACTATTATTGGATATTTATTGTCACGCATTACAGTGAACCTTTGTGAAAAACTTGCATTCATTTACCAATGAACTACAAATGTCCTTAGTGATGCTGTAATGACATGATCTCCTGTGACAACATGGGATGTGGCATATAAATACACAACTTTCAACTGAGAATAGAATAGACGTTGGAACCTTGTACTATTTTATTTGTGTTGTTTGTATACATACGTAATTGTCAGCTAGTAACATAGGGGTGAGGCTTATAGTGAATTGACAGGAGCTGTTATTTCGCACTTTTCTGACAATAATATATTAATAACTATATTATGGCAATGATTTTATCCTCAAAAGTACAGTGATATATTCCTTAACACTACCGAATGTTAAAAAAAGGATTGAATGTAGATTTGTTTTTTGTTCACTGGATGATGGACGCCAAATTTACATGTGTAATATCTTACATGAATGGCCATTCATTTGAATTAACAAATGAAAATTCTGTGTTCATCAACCAATTCAATCCTTAAGTATTGTCTCCTTTCGTAAGATATTTATACGTGTGTGCCTTGTCAATTTAGACTCAATATTACATGAATAAAATAAGAAATATCATAAAAATATAACTATTGATTTTTTTTGTCCAACCAAGGTGCGTATTTTTTCAGATTTACATAATGTATCTGGATATATGTGTTGTTTTGATGAAGGTAATTTTTGGTTTTCAGTGCTCAGGATCCAAATCTATGGATACAAGCATTATCATATTTTGCTAGAAAAGAAGACTGCTGTAAACCTCAACTGATGGAGGTTCTGTCTCGTATCTTTTTTATTAATGAAAACTAAATCTTCACTTTTTGTACAAATACAGAATTATGAAATTAGATTTTCGTATATCTACTTTGAGTTCAGCTTTTGCAATCCCCACAAGTTTCAGGTATAAATTTATCATCAGAAATGTTTTTAGCTGAGTGAATATGTGGTGGAAGATATTTGATGCTTTGATCTATTATTTAAATCATTGTGAAAATTTCCATAACCATCATGTCAGAAATTGACAGAAGAAATCTACTGCCACCATTGTTAGTAATTCAAACATTGGCCCATAATTCAACAGCAACACTTTCTGTGGTCAAGGTAAGCTTGATAATAAAATTTTGTTTTCTGCTTGGTATTTGTCTTCAGTTGGGTTATCCAAAACATAATACAACAGAGTCTTCTATTGTTTCACTTCATAATACCCATCATCACGAATACAGGTTTTGACATGGTCTTATTAACTTGTATTGAATTAAGCCCACTAACCCTCGTTTTGTGGGAGTGGAAATGAGATTGGTGCTATTTGAAGCTGATCAATCAGATCAATCAGATCAGTAAAACAGAAATGAGGTCATGTAAACAAAACACAACCTTGATTTGCGGCCGCCACTTTTGAAGAGATAAAAACACATTCTTTCCAAGTAAATAAACCAAAGTAAGGATTGATTTTCTCTCGGCTTCAATTCTTTAACAAAAAAACTCTTACTCAATTCTGTACCTTATATATTCATCAAAATATGTAATAGCACGCTGCTTTTGTTTTGTTTACGTTCGCAAACAAAGCATCATAATGCTTGATTTGTTTTTGATTGGCTGAAATTTTCAACCAATACAGTAGGGCCGATTTGGATTGGACAATATTAATCTATGAATACGTAATTTTTCTCACTCGTGTTACCACAGGCCCTGAGGAAGTATGCTGAATGGGGGTGTGGTTTCGATTTTCAAATAAAGTTTTCTAGAATTTGTCATCTTCCATTTTAGGATTATATTATTCGTCGTCTGCAACTAGAGAATGACCAGATAGCAGAAGATGAGAGATTAATTAAACAATATCGTGAAGATTCAGAAAATAAAAAAGTACAAATAGAAGACTTAAAAACTTCGTGAGTGACAAATTTTAGTTAGTAGACAGCTAATTCTTATAATCAAATACTATATTTTTGACTTAGTAATGGATTTAGATTACAAAATGTACTGTTGGGAGACATGTTTACAAGTCATAAACATTTGAAATATTATTGTTTTCAGGGCCAAGATATTCCAAGCATCTAAATGTAATATTTGTAATCATCCATTAGAACTTCCTTCAGTTCATTTTCTTTGTGAACCACACTCCTATCATCAACAGTAAGTAATATTCATACTTCATTAGGTCCACAGGACAAGTAATAGCAAATATGTGGGTTTGAGATATCTTCCTAATGTGTTTCTGTTACTAACAGTTCTGTAACTAGTTCTATTCAATATTTTGTTTGTTCAAAATGCACTTTATGAGAGGGAATGAGCTCAAATATTAATCATAGAATTCAGTATTAGAATGTACTATAATTGTGCACATATACAAAGAATTTAATTTTGGTTCCTTTGGTATATTTAGTAAGCTAGTAACTATAGTTTAGACAAGGGTTTAAAGTGTCCTTTTTTAAGTTTTATGAGCTGAAAAATAACTATGATACTGCTGAAAGTAATAGAATGTCAATTGATTTTTTTGTTCATAAAGCCTATTTTTCTGAAATTAAAATATATATTTGCCATAGTAAAACATCTGATTTATTATTTTATTTTTTTCTAGTTGTTTTGAAAGCTACTCTGAGAATGATAATGAATGCCCTGTCTGTGCAGCAGAAAACAGGTATTACTTCTTTTGTCACATCGGAAAAATGGTCAATTTACATGAAAATGCTCTCAGAAACTAATAATGACTTATCATCGATGGCCCAGGCATCAGGTTTTGTCCAACATCAATTAGATATATTTAACAAAATGCATTGTTTTTATGGGAGCTAACTCTTAATGTTTTCAAACATGAGGGGTGGTGTTAGTGGCCTTAGTGGTGTTTTATTATTTCTCTTGTTCTTAAAACTATCTTTACTGTTTACCCTATATCTTTTCTCACTGACTGACAAACAAGGCAGCATTACACAATTAATGTTTTATATTTTTTAAGGAAAATCATGGACATTATCCGAGCACAAGAACAAACAAAAGACATTCATGAAACTTTTCATAACCAGTTGGAAAGAGCTCCAGATGGTTTTTCAGTTGTTGCAGATTATTTTGGTCGTGGTGTCTTTAATAAAGTTAGTAAATTATTGTGATTGCTCACCTTCTCAACATAATTTATCTAAGGCTGTGATCATACAGCAGTATTTTCATGTGCTAATTTTTGTGCTATTATATTTGCTATTGAGATCTACTTCAATAGTTAAGCAAGGCAGTTCCTGAATTCGATTCCATGTGCAAAATTACACATTTTTTGTAGTCTTATACACTTAATCACTTAATCAGCAATTAAAAAAATCCAGTTTGTCCAATATGCATATGTACCCGTATAATCCTGAACAGAAAAAAGATATGATTTACCTTTATTTTTTTTTTATTAATTTTGCAGGTAACTTTGATAACAGATTCTCCTTCAAAACAACCTTACAGCAGAATGGCTTGAGCGATGGTAGATGGTATCGTGCATTACTAAGATATTTCACATATAGTGTTGTTTCAAAACATACACAAGGATCAGTCGCTATAATTTAAAATAAGTAGTAAATAAACTCATAGTTATTTCAGATTCACTCTGTATCTTCACAATGTACTCAATAGATAAAGAAAGACATGTTTGTTTTCAGTAATGTTTCAGACGCATTAATGACCTCTTGTTGACTTGGTGACATTTATCAGCACTCTGAATGTATCAATAATTACAAGTTCAAGAAAGTATTATAATGATAACAAAGATGATGTCCAAATCAAATGCTTTTAAATATCCAAACTTTATAAATAAAGAATATTTTGTTGTGTAATCTGTTCATACCAGGTTAAAGATTTACTCATGTTAAATTGTATATAGAGATATTTAAAACTATAGAGTATTATAATACTTCAAAATAAATATACCAGTCATTATCATGTTTTTTGGAGTTTTTTTTTGTTTTTCATTTTTAAGTGTTGAGTGATCCTGTGGATGATATTCAAGTTCTTATACTTCAATCCACTGTGTGCAAAATTTTCTGTGTCTAAAGAGTTAGGATGCCTTCACATTATTACATTAAATTGGTTTAAACATGGACATATAAGAAGAATTTTTCCTTTAAACTTTTTCTCTACTTCAAAAATAGTCACCAGATTAAAGAATTATTAATGGGACATAATTCACTCAGTGCTCCTTTGAGTCAAGAAAAAGAGGGAAGAAGTTAGATTTGGACTAAAGTTCAGATTTGCACTTAAGTTCAGATTTTTTTCTTAAATTAAGGATCAAGAAAAAAAAGTATTTTTGTTTAAATAAGCTTATTAGCTTAAGATTATCTAAGACAGGTATTGGGGCTGTCTTAAGATCATGAAAGTAGAACAAAGATGGCAGATATGCTGCAAAAAAGAAATGACTGTTACACATTTATTAGAACATTAGGCTACAGGACACGTAAGAATTATTGTGTTTGTTTATATAATTATTGGACAAATTACATTTTTGGTATGATTTTACACAGATTGGTGACCGCCCTTGATAAACTTAAAATTTATCGAGGAAGTTGGCGCATCTTGCTAGGCAACCATTTTTTTTTTTCCACCAGGGCATTCTAAAACTCACCCTGAAACAGAAAGTTTCCCTTTTATATGAGAGGTAATTTAAATTACTATTTGAAAATTGAAGTCATGATTTTCATTTAAGTCGGTTTCAATTCTCACAAAACTTTTTAACTACAGACAATAGATATGTTTTAGGCTAATCTAATTAAGTTTTTGAAATTTGAAACTCCTGCAAATACAGAAATCAGAGATTTTTGGCCCTGTAGGACTATTTTTTTCATTAATTATTTTCATTTTTTACAGTAAATTGGTTCCAATGCTTTTGATTTAATCAATTAATACAATGTAGGCCCATTTCAAAAGTTTTTTCTTTAGTTAGCTTAATCACATCTTGGCTATCATTTTTGTATGAATTGAAATATTAATCTCCAAATATTGCAGAGAGTTTTAGATTGTCTTTGTCTTTGATGAAAATACCAACATTGAAAACAAAATTATTTGAAACTATGATTTTACAGAGGGAGATTTTCACTGTTTCAGTTAAAATGTGTCATTTTTCACATGCATGAAATTTCTTGGAGAGAAGTGTGTTCATTTCAAGTGCAAAATTTTCAAATCTTATATATTCATGGACCCAAAGGCATTCTAAGACAATTAGTATGCACTTGAAAATCATATTTTGAATATTTGTGACATGACTCAATGAGAGAAAAAATTCAATTAAGAACTCACAGTCTCACTCTCAATCATCAATGTGGCCAGAGAGTCCTCAGTCCAGAGAGTAGGCCTAGAGTAGAGGCCGGCTACTGTTTCAGCTAAAATTTGTTTACAGCTAATATATTAATTTTAAAACATTAATCGTAAGCAAAATAAAATATCAACTAGCTGAACAAATGCATGTCAGGTGTTCTATCAAAATAACGTGAACCTTTGGCTTTGACGGTAATCCCCGTAAGTACGTCAGGGAATGTCCTTTATTTGAGGTAAACCCCGTTTCTATAACAACAGTGACGTCATAAACTTTTTCAGTATCTAAATATAGTAACATAATATTTTACCCTGGAATGTCTCTTCGCCATTTTGGAATCCGAAATTCGCTGATTGTATGTCAGTCGATGAATTCAGTGTTTATGAATCCTAATTAGTGTGATTTCAAAGATTTTGGTGCCTGCAATGGATTTCTTAGTTTTTTGTGATGTTATGGGTGAAAATTATGGATTTATTTGAGTGAAACAAGCTAAAACACGACATTATTTTGAACAGTATTATTTTGCGCGCCATTTTGTTTGGCCGTACAAACTGTCTGAGGTCAAGCTGACTCACGCCCTAATTTTTGGTTTAAAGATCGCTGTTTCCAAGTGTGTTTTACCCCAAAATATAACAGAAAAATAAGGTAATTTTTATATTTAATTTTAACCAAGTTTGATTGTCCAAAATTTGTCTATATTTCATTGATTTTTATATATTTTATTTAATATTTTCATCATATCAACACGACCTGAGCTGATCCGAGGGCAAGAAATCGCTCCGCTGTGACATGTCGTGTTCGGTTCGTTGCGTTGAATAGACTCCTTTCAATTCTTATGAATACTACAGACAGTTGTTGCTTTTGATTCCACCCAATTAACGTCAACTCAGCTCTTCAATTTTTTTTTTCAAATGTAGACGTAGATCTAGTAGGCTAGCTAATGCCTCTAAAAGGACAAATATGGCCATTGTGGTCTGTATTCTGTTTACATGGAAGAGTTACTGTGAGAACTGTGTTGAACTGTTTTTTTGTCTAGACTTGTCACATTAATTGAATTGATTTTTATTGCAATTATCGGAGGTGATACAGGTATATCTACATGGAATTAATTGAAAAATAAAAAAAACATTCATAGGACTTTGGCCAAATGCAGTCTTCATCATTTAATCATATTAATAACACATTGACACCCTTGAAGATAATCCTAAAATGAAATTAAAAAAACATGATTCCTCTTAAAATTCAAATTGAAATTTATTGATATATGATACTGGTTGCAATTTAGCAAGCCATTTAAGGAACTTGGGACTTTTTTGGGAGTGTATATGAGTCAAGTATTATATAAACTATTGTCTGAGCAAAGCAAAATGTTTTTTAAAATTTTTTTATACTTTTGAAGACAATTAGAATGTGAGCCTCGAAATAGTACTATTTGTCTAAGAATGTCTTTCAGTTGATAAAAATGAAATTTTTTGTACTGTAAGTTTATATTATGTTTATTAGTTTATTGAAAAGAAACACATTTTTCCCTCCTAAGAATTTCAACCAAAACAGACAGTATTTGAAGGCATACCCATTATTGTCGGCTCATGTTTATATTTTTATCAATGCAGACGTTCTTATTCTAACAGTACTATTAGCCAACACGGTTTTTCGTATTAACCAATTAATCTGCATCAGGACAGAGCTATTCCATCCTGATATATCACATCAATTACACTTTCATAAGATGATGTTTTATCCTATCCAGTTAAATAACAATTAATTAAAAGTTTGTTAACCCTTATAAACTGACCAGAATTTTCAACTACCAGCTGTGTTAAAACCGGATTGAGAGATACTTCTATTGGAATAATAATGATGTGACAAGTGGATCAAGCAGAATAACAACTAAGATAATCAAGGTTAAACCTAGCTGTTTCCATTTTAACTCAAAATAACTAGTCAAATTGTTACATGATCTGCATGTTCCAATATCATTTTGAAAAAGAAATTCAAAGAACCTATAGTTCTAAATTTATTTAATCAAAACATTTTTTGGGAAAATCAAAAGGTTTGGCAAAATAAAGACCTTTCATTTTCAAGTAAATATACATGAAGCTATGATATCATTCCAGAAAATAAAGTTGATTGTGTATCAAGATATATCATGAAGATAGGTCTAGAAGACAGTAAAAAGGTCATTCCAACCTAACCTCAAATATACTGTCTAGGATATTTCTACCGACTTTTCCAACTTACTCAGTAGCTTCAAATGTCGTAACCTATTACACAGTTCAATTAAGAATTGTATTTCTTTTGGGGTGGAAGATGGTGACATAATCCTTTAATATTTGATAAATTTTCAATAGATTTCTTTTTCTATCAGTGTTTGGTTTTTCTTTTTTTTTTATAGAAAACTCACAGAAAGTTTTTATTTTTATACTTATGATTTATAAGGTTATTCCTGTTGCTTTGGTTCTCTTTTTTGGAAATCAAAAATTTCCTTGATTGCACCCTGCATGGCGTTGCCCATATTCATTGGCGCACATGGTGCAGAAGTACGACGTAAAATCCATTCATTTCATTTCATTTATTGGTTCCCTTTTCCAACTTTGAATCAGTGACTCTTTACGCTCATGTTTTAAATCAGATTTTGGACACCAGAAATTAAATTATCCCTAAGAATACACATAGAGATATTCCAGATCAAATGGTTAAATTTTGCTTTTAAACTTGATTGAACTGCAAAAATATAATTTATATGCCAATTTAAAACTAAAATTGCAATTTTTACTAACAAAGAAAGATGTAACACAATGTTTGTGAATTGAGATTCTATGACCTTGACATGTTTAAAAGATTTGGAGCACCACTTTAATCAAAAGCAGTGAGCTTATATTAAGAAATCGAATTTGAATTAAAAGACTGCTGAAAGGTAAAACAGTTCAGTTTCAATTCAATTTATATTGACACATCATGTTCAGTGTTGAGATACTCTAAATCACTTCTGGATATTTGGAGCTCAAATCAATATTTGTATTGCTTGTATTGTAAGCTGTATTGTAAGCTTTTGTGATTTTGTGATGGTTGACCAAACTGCAGGACCAAAGCATCAAAAAATGCACCTAGGAAGTACTAGTAGGGAAAGTTTGGCTTATTGCCATTGTTATCATTGAAATATATGAGAAAAAAATTTTGTTTCTCGTTCAAATAGGCAACTAATATAGGAAACATTAAAAAATTCAGCTGCAGTTGTCAATTATTTGCATCTGTTGTAGGTAATTGCATAGTCTGTGTAACATTGACAATTTATGCAGAAATCAAATGAAAACATTGGATTTCATTTGTATGACCTAGGACAGAAATGATTTAAGTGAACCTTTCATTTCACGATTTTTTTGATTTTCAAAATGGAACTCCATTAAGTCCCAAATATCAATGTTTTTTGATGATCCTGTTGCATGGTTTATAGCTCCAATCACCTAATTATTGGTACAGTTTACAAAAATGTATATTTTTGATCTGTTAAGGTATGTCATATGGTATGTTAGGTATTTTACCTTCAAGGTATTTAACTCACTGTCACTAGCCTTTTAATCTTCTCATTTGTACCATGACATTTAACATAATGATGATGATTATGAAAATGCTTGTAA